TCCGCCTGTAAGGGGAGGTACTTGTCGACGATATGGAACAACTTGTCAGCTTGCCGCGCCGTTTCATTGCGGCTTTCATGGCGCTTAAGGTAAGCCGCATACTTCTTCCCCTCCTGTTTGGAAAGGGCCTTGCCGGTCTCTGTGTCCACATACTTCCCCTCCATGGTTTCATCGATCCCCTTGCCGATCCAGGCATCCAGTGGATCGGGATCGTAGAGGAGCACCACTCCTTTGCGGGTGCGGAAGCCTGTTAGCTCACTGAGTGGTCTGGCTGAGCTCGCGCTGCTTTCCCCCCGGCTCGTCTGGGCAGTGCTCACGGAAGGGCCTCCCTGTTGTTCTCGTGGTGGGCTTCTACTCCGGGCTTTCGGTGAGGTTGTGGCTGCTGTAGTCACCCCGTATAGTCTGCATGCTGGGTCGGTGCGGTCGTGTATTTTCCGCATCCCCACCGTGCACACTCCTGAAGCAAGCCTGCACAGCTTGCAGTCCCCCATCGTGATCGTCACTATGTCGCGGTCGATGCCCAATATCACGACCGTTAAGATGGTATTCTCCCCCGCCCAGCGAGTTGGTATTGTGAGCACACTGTCTTGAGGAGCGAAAAAACCTGCGGCTCGTAGTGGGCCGTCCCCCCCTTCCGCAAGGAAGTCGGCGGAGAGGATCTTGCAGTGCCTATCCCCCGGTCAGTGTCAAAGGTATCACGGACTTGCCCTTGAAGACGATGGCTCACGAACTACCCCTGCTTTCGGGCCACTTGAGCCAAAATGGCTACATGTCGCACCTCTCTCTCTCTCTCTCTCTCTCTCTCTCTCTCTCTCTCTCACACTCACGGACTCAGTCACCTGTCTGCTAGAAGAGGCAATGTTTGAGACAAAGACTTGCATCCCCATCCGTCTTGCAACTCCCAACCTGCCTTGGCATCGCCACTGTCGGGCAACTGTCCGTTGCGCGAGAGCTCTGTCTTTCCAGCAAGGGCATCGCGCAAGTGGCTCTCGAAGTTGCTGCAAGATAATCGCATGTCTATGCTAGCCACCAGCATCCTGGGGATGGCCCGGAGAAGCATGGCAAGAACAAGCTTGTGCAAGTTCAACGACACCAACATCACCACACAATGCCCCACAACACACGTCGCACCCCTGCGAGGTTTAACAGCCAGTGCCTGGTGTTGACCAGAGCTGCTGCAGGCATCGCGGCCAGTGTGGAAGACAGTGTTACTGCGAGCGCCCGATATCTGCGAGTTTTGCACTCATCGGCCAGAAACCGCCTGTTCTGTGAATCTTCAGATCTTAGCAACAGGACGGACTCGGGATGAGATGCTGCAAGTCCCAGCAGCACTAGCAACGCATCCAAATTCGCAGAAGCGGGCCTCGGCAAGGAATCAACAAGTCGTGCAAACACAACCGAAATCCTGGAGTCCTCCACACAGACCCTCAACTGAACTGCATATAACTGCTGCACGAAGCCTCATGAAGAGATATCCGTGGGGAGCTCTGCCAGGCCAACCTTTAGAATCAAAAAGCTCCTGTAAGCTTTCGATGGTCTCTGGCTCAGCACGTGCCAGGATCTCCTCCCTTGCAGGGATCTGCCTCGAAACGACGGGCCGCCGATGGAGGGTCGTGTGATAGTAGGCATAAATCAGCGAGTATGCAGCCTTGGGGTCCACCGCAAAGGCATCCTCGCCTTCAAGTCTTCCAAGCATCCTTTTGCACAAGTCGGGTATAGAATCCAGATTGAAAGAAGTGCTGCCAGAATAAATCCACTGAGGCGCAAAACTAGCAGCCAAAACATGGAGTGGTATCTGCTCAGAGGTGCTTGTCATTGGTGGTTCCAAAGACTCTACGGGGCGCGGTATGTTCGGAACACGTGTGATCCAGTCTTTCCTGGGTTTCTCTTCAGCACTTGCAGGACTGCTGCCTTCCGAATCAGGGACCCGGAGAAACACCACATCCGCATCGACACCAACACCTGCATCTTGCTCGGAACCTGCATAATAGAACTTCAAGTCACGGACCAAACGAGCATGCCTCACAGGATGGGCTGGAAGACCTTGATCCACCAAATCCTTTACCAGACTGACTGCTCGAACCCACTCGTCTTTCCAAAGCGCGGCATCAATTAGCAAATAATACGCCTTGGTCCAGTGCCTTTTATTTTTCAACTCCTGCCGCGCGGCTTCTCGACCCGCCTGTGTTACGGAAGCGTCCGTAGATATCCTTCTTAGGCGATCTCTGAACTCCTGAAAGGGAGCCTGCACATCCAAAGCAGATATCCAATCGCCTGCGACCACATAGCCTTCCAGCAAAATGCGAAACGACATTGCGTTGGGCTCCATGCCGGCTTCTCTGATGCTCTCAAAGGTCTGCAGGGCCGTCTCCATGTCACCTCTTCTGCACTGTATGCCCATCATGACGTTGTAGGCATAGAGGCTGGCATACTGTGGGCCCATGGAAACTAGGCGCTGAAAAACACGCACTGAGTCTTCGTAGAAACCTGCTTGGGCAAGGCCCACGAAGACCGCAATGTAGTGCTTTGCCCGAGGTCTCACACCATCACTTCGCATCCCAGTAAGAAGCCGGACGGCTAGTTCTGCTTGCTCTGAACCCACCATCGCACCCAGCAGGTATTGGTATGTGAACCGATCCCAGATAATTCCGGCTTCCCGCATTCTGTTTGCAACTTGGAGTGCCATGGTCAGCTGCCCGGTGTCGCTGTAAGCTTTGATGAGGGCGTTGTAGTTTATCGTGTCCGGGGTCACTTCCATCACTTCCATCAGCCGTAGCAACTGCCGAATCTCGATGGCTGCATCCGGATGCCCCCAGCAGGCTTGCTGCAAAATGCCGAAGGAGACAACCGTAGGTTGAATGCCATGCTGCTGCATTACTCCAAGAACCGCGAAGCCATCTCGTAACCGCCCCATGCGTCGATAGGCTGCCAGCAATGTGTTGTACAGGGCATCTGGTTGGTACCTGCCGTGGTTATATCTCACACGACGGCAACTGAAAAAACAAAAACGCAAAGCTTTGTAAGGCAGTCGTCCGACTCGACCGTCAGGTCACTTATGCAAATTAAGAAGAAACACGAAGTAATTATGCAGCCTCCTCCTCAAGAAGCCTTCTGCAGAGCCCCCATGCCTACACTCAGAAGCGACGTAGTACGCCATCATAGCAATATGAATCACTGAATGGCAGAATGAAAAAGCTATCAGCTTTTTGGGCAATGGCTGCAGGGAGAAGGTGCTTGTGAAGCCATAATCATAGCACGTGCTAGAGGGGAGTCTAGTTACTAGTTGTGCAGTGAAAACTTTGTGGCTTAGCGGAAAACAGCCGCAGATGGTACATCATTGACCGCAGCGATAGTAGAAACAGTCGTCCCAGCTAGCACTCGTCGTTGCAAGAGTGATGATTTAAGGGAAACCGTGTATTGAACCGAGGCCGAGGTGCTCATCCAGGAGCCTGCAGGTCTTCCAACTTCTCGACAACATTTCCCCTTTTCGCACGAGAGTCTTGGCCATGTCAATGTTTGAATTGGAATGCACCGCGGCCAGCACCAAATAGATGACTGGGTCTGCAGGCAGCAAGAAGGCAGCTGACCTGGACAAGAGTTGTCTAGCAGCGCGTTCACCCTGGCTGGCTGCAACGGCTTGGACAAGGATGCAGTAGGCTGCATTCGTTGGCTCCGGAAGCCTCGGATCTGCACCAGTCTCCATGTCAGCAAGGAGCTTAAAGGCCTCATCCGGGGCTTCACGTGCTTCAAGAGCTTGCAAAGCCAAGGCATAGAGCACCGCTTCCCAGGTTGCAGAAGTCGCACATTGCTCTCGAAGCCAAGGCTCCACCAAGTGATACAGCTGGACACTGAAAAGCGGTGGCACATCACGCAGCCGACACGCTCTGAGAACCCGGGCGAAAAAGACGAAGGGACGCCGAACACATTCGTACGCAACCATCTCCACCAGATCTGCAGAGTCGCTGCTCCCCACGGACACTGCGATGCGAGCAATCATGTCATAGTCGCATGTGCAGCAAACTCGACGCAGTTTGGCATGCCAACTTGCACTGGTGCGAAGAGGAGACTCGGCGTCTTTTTGCAGAGTCTCCGCGGATGGATTGGAAGCCAGAACTTCATCATCTGCAGCTCGCTGCTGTGTTTCCCACTTACCACGGGTTCGAGTCTTTCTCTGAGAGGCAGCAAGAGCCAGAAGGCTTCCGCCCCACTGCCGAGCTGCCCTTCGCACTGACGCTTCGTTGCACGTCGTGCCCGCATGCTTCGAACGCTTCGCCAGCAACGGGTGCCAGTGTCCATAGGGCCGGAAGCGGACAGCGGAAGGTTGGGAGAGCATGCCAAGCATGCCAAGCCCCTTCTCACTGTCACAGGTGATCGAGCATGCTGTTAGGCTGTTAGGTCATACTAGCTTGGGCCGTCTGCATTGCGGGCAGCAAACATGCAATATGCTGTTGTGCTTGGGAAACGTTCAGGCCCTGCAAAGTCGTGGACTGAAGCACGGGATGTCTGCCTCCAACAGTGTAGCCCCAGGCGGCAAAGTTCTGGAAGCTCATTGCAAGTGGCCCGAAGATGGACGAGTTGTCTTCCTCTGGACGGAAAATTTTTACATCGCAGGCGGGCCGCCTGGAACATGCGAGGGTGTCTTGATGCAGTCCCATCTTCCCTCTGTGGTTGAAGCACTGATTTTTGTGGCTTGACTGTCGAGGAACGTAATTGTGCAGATCTGCGAAGTCACCCAACGGGCCACCTTCGACTTCGTTCCATCCGCTATTGGCCTGTAAGCAGCACGCCAACAGGCAGACAATTTGTGGGAGGACGAGCCAAGAACAAGCGAGCCTGACAGTCTTGCGGCCAAGATGCATCGATCAGCCGACTTGGATCAATGCCCCTCAGAAATTGCACCAACGCCTGCACCAACTAAATTGCGCACACCTCTCCGCGTGCCAAGCACGTGCCTTCGTGTTCGATTGTCCCCAGCCCTCGTTGAAGAGCACCCAGACAGCTACCGATGCGAAGTGCGACAAAGCTCCCACCATGGCCTGCTCAAAGCTGACAGAAAGTGGGCCGGGCTGTGAACCTCTCCAACGTCTCCCGTAGTCGTAGTATGTTGTAGCAGTAGGTAGACACTAGAGGCAAGCATGACAGGTCCTGCAGCTCAGCTTCAAAGGCTCTTCGACTTTCGTGTGACCGCCGAATCTCATCAAAGAGTGTCCGCGGAACGGGAACCTTCAACCTCGAGCTTTCATGACACGTCTCAAAATCACAGCGACATGCCATGCTCATCGATACGTGATCTGGCCTCTGCGCTTCTGTGCCGATCCTCGAAACAGGCCAGGTTTAGTCTACCCAGATTCCAGCTTCAAAAAAACACTCCTCAGCCGAGTGTCTCTTCCTCGGCGACAGCACGTCCTTCGGACCACGTTGGCATCGCACGCATGTCTCCTGCTGGCATGTCCTGGAAAACGAGCTCCGATGTGCCGAACGCATGCAGTGCCTAATGCTGTGGGCCCTATAATAGGCACCTGCCATACGAGCAGGCCGAGCTTGTCGCACTCATCGTAGAAAGCTTCCCCCATGACCACAGCGTGCACCCGAACCGTGTTGAAGCCTGCTGCCTCAAAGTCAAAAGCGTGACATGCCGATTGTGGCCCTTAGAATGTGATCTCTCAACAACCAACTGTTGCCTTGACTTCAGTGGAAGGCTGCTATGAATCTGGGCCTTGATCATCTCAAGGTCACGGCTGATGGCTTCCGAGTCCGGCGGGGTGAGCAACGACTCCGGCCAGTAGCCCTCAACAGCAGCATTTGCAACTCGCATGACAAACTTGCATCCCCGCCTGATACAGCACCCCATGCACAAATAGGACCTGGCAGGATGTTACATCGATACCTCACGGACCCAGCACGATCCACTACGGGTTCGTCTTGGGATTGGCTCGCCGCAAATTCGCAGCGCAACCACGCTTTCCGTCCAGTGCCTCGTTCGAGAAGACCTCCCCACCCCCCTCCGGCCCCCTCCGCAAAACAAACCACAGACACAGACACAGACAGAGACAGAGACAGAGACAAACACACACACACACACATTCACACACTTTTACTGACTTACTTACACGCTTACTTACGGCATCCATCTTGCAGCCTCTGACCTGCTGTTTATCCAGCCATGCTCGATGTCATCATGAAAGCATCGAAGCTTTCGGGGTTCCGGAACCAATCAGGGCTCAAGGCTCACTAGTCAAATCTCGACACCACAGGGGGCCTGTCCTTTTTTTGAAATCTTGGCGCCAAAGGGGGCTGCCTGTTTGAATCGGCTCACACGCCCAAGCAACATTGACATGTTTTTTGTACGGACCCAGGAACTCCTCATGAGGGCCACGAACCCTCCCCCTTGATTCGCAGGTACGCATTCACGCCCTGTCACTGACAGTCTTCGTTGGCTGAGGTACCAGTGACGGGCCCTCAGCGCGTGCTGTGGAAGCGCATGAAGCGCTCCAAAATATTGAAAACGGAGTTCACGCGGTTCGGTTCAAGGCTTCCGTGGTTTCACTGTTAGCACAGAGGTCCACACACACGCACACACAATCCGGTAAAGAAAGCGGCAGCCAGTCGTACGGAATGGCAAACGATCCGTGATTTACGGTTATTTAATTATCTGTTTCGAGGTTGGTGCTTGCGTTCGGGTATGCCCCAAGCATGCCCGAGTCAACGGGGGTGTGCCAGGCAGTTTGCAAACATCTGCTGAGAGAGAACCAGTTAGTGACTGCATGAGGATCTGTGATATCAGCATTTCTGCCCTAGAAGAAAGATGCAGTTGGGGGTTGCAGCACTACTCGCATTACACCCCCACTCACACATCTGTACTCGCGAACCTTAGCTGCCACAAGTCACGCATCGTGTCCTGTCACGCGGGCAACAACGGGTAGATAAGCAACGGTGTCCCAAGCCGGTGAACGCAAGATGCCTATTTCGTGCGTTTGTACCCACCCACCTCGAGTGCGAGAAAACATGCGCAAGCTTCGTTCACCATGCAATCGAACTTGGTACTTACAAGTGGGGTTTCATGCGCTAACCTTCTTGTGACTACAATAGAGTTTACTGGCCGACGAACCGAAAAGTGAGCTGACGCGTCTCAAGTTTTGAGCTTGTGAGGTCGAAACTTGGCATCCTCCCATATCCTCCCTTGCCCTCCCGTCATTTGGATTGAAACATTGCCAGGCCTGATCATTGAGCAGAAAGCGACCATCTTTGACTGCAACAAATCGGCGTGCGAAGCGTCGAACCACAGTGTCGACGTCCGTGTCGGCACCCAGCGATAAGTGAGCTTCGTATCGTTGGGGCTCCTGGCTTTGCGGTGGTGGCGCAGCTGCGCTTCGGGCATTACAAGGCCATGCAGCAAAACCGTCCATGCTTGTTTGTGGCTTGCTTCAAGAATGCCGTATCCTGGGGTGACCAAAGCTGCAGTGCCTGTTCTAGCTCCGCATGCCTCAGGTGTGTGGAAGTTCTTGCAGCTCAAAGGAAACAGTAGCAAGATCTGGCAACATGCACGCGATCGCTCGGTGTGCGCCAGCACGTGACTGAGCAGCCTTCTGAACTGCAGCATGGGGGAATTGTGGCGGGCAAACTAAGTATTGCTGTTCCTCCTCGAGCAAACGCTGCAATGTGCTGCTAGACAAAAGCCTGGAGGGTCCTGGTTTCACATCTGCCGATGGTGCAATTTGGAAGTTTTTCCTGTTGTGAGCTGACGCAAACGGCCATGAGGGCTTTGACATGCGAGCCTTTGCCGATTTACGAGAGCGACAAATGCGGCCCAATTGCAGCTCACAGCACGGGCCGTGAGCAACTCCGAGGAGGTCCCCCTCCAGATCGCGCACCTGAGAAGCTGCAGAAGAAATTTGAAATGTGCATGCCAGCTTCTTCCGACGGGACCTCCAAGTAAAGCTGCTTCTCACACGTCGCTTCCGCGGCGACCTGTCAGCAAAGCACCAGGAGAGCGAGCCCCGCTGACCCCACAGTCCGACAGGCCAAGCCGCAGTAAGCTTGCGAGGCGCATCCTTGTATACCTGTGCCGAGTTCGCAGAACAGTCAGGCACAGCGCGGCGATGTAACATGCAGGGCCGCCCTGATATGCAGATTCCGGATGTGGCAGCCAGGAAGGTTCTCCAGGAAAATGCCTTGCCGCCAAATGCCGGTCACCGCTGTGTACCTTCACAGGGTGAACTCATTCGGTGCCTGAGGACGAAGTTCGTCCCTCGCCAACTCAGCAAGGGCACATGATGGAACCAGGCTTCAGGGCTTGCTTGCCACGCGGCTGCCAGCCACTCTCACAGCAACTATCACCTTGCAGTCATGCTCTCCGTCTCTTTCGAAAATTGCCACAACAGTTCGTATCTGTCAAGTGGCAAGGTATCGGAGGGTGGTCTGTGAATGGGCAGCCCTCATCCGTCGGGTCCCAAGCCCGGACCTTTTTTGAAGACATGTGTTCTATGAAGCCAGAAAAGCAAAATCGATCCTTGGTTGGGCCGCTTCTTAAGGCCTCGGCCAGCAGTGTTTTGACCTCAGGGCCTTGGCCCCTTTCGGAGCAAGCCGAAATCGCGGGAATCTCCAGGCGGAAAGCATCGTAACCGCCCCGGTGGATCCCAAGTGGCTGAGAGTCCAAGTAGACGGCCTGGAGATGTCAAAGGCGTGCCCGAAACACAGGGCAACGTGACGCATGGTGACTGCTGCTTTGCTTGCTTGAGGTGTCGAGCTGCGCATTCCCAGTCGCAAGCATCCACTTGAAGCCAAAAGGTTGCCCCCACACCAGCGCACCAGCTCTCGGGCACACGCAGCATCCGGCGGTACCAGACCGCCTCCGACGCAGAAACCTTCGTGGCCAAACCTGGAATCTGGGTCAAAGCCACTTCCCGAAGAAACAGCCACTGGCGACATGTTCACCCGGCCTTTGTGAGACTGCGGTGCAAAGGGCACTTCGATTGTTCGCCAATCTCCTTCAGCCAAGTCTTGCAGTCTGGCCTCAGTCAGGCCCACATCGCACTGAAACATGGCTAAGGCCAAGGCCAAGCTCTGCGACCGAAGTCCCTAAAATCATAAAACGTCTCTTCGGAGCTCCGAGTTACCCTAACAGGAACGGCAGCGTCCCTGCAACATGCTTTCCACTTGCAGTCGGGATACGGTGTCTGTTGTAATTTGGACTTCCCAGAGACCATTCAAAGCAATGTGTTGTGCGACTGTTCGATGCAGCCGCGGCGCCCAATGCGGGGTCTGGTCAGGGCTCATTCAACTGAAGCAGTCGATGTTGGTTTCTTGCATCGTGATCTCCGTCTTCAAGAAGGACATGGGGTTAACTCATGACTCATGACCTTTAAGATTTTTTGTCCGTCAAGGGACAGGTGCTTTGAATGGGCTCGACGTGTGTAAGCTCGAAGCCGGAACGATAAGATAAGAGCTGACTGCGCACCCATCATCAAGCCCGCAACCGGAGCTTCTGTAAGCTAATCGGCGCCGATGCAGTACTTTCCAAGCAAACAACTTTACCTAACATGGGCCTGGGCTACGGATATGGGTCCGTGTCAAAACCCAACAAAAACACCCTCGACTAGCACGCACGTGTACCCTTTGAAACTGAACCCATAACATGGTGTCCTGCAGAGATCCTCCGAACACGACGTCCCGAAAGCCATTAGAGTTAGAGCATGCTCTCGGCGCCCGAAACAGGGTTTGAACCGGGGGGGGCGGGGCGATACGCACAAGGCAACCTTCCAAAACTTTCTCAGACAGGCTTGTCGTCTGCGTCGCAATATGTAGCTGACCCAGGCCAACTGCAGTTTTTCGGTGGGAGCTCAACTCGCAACCACAGCGTCGTAACAGGTCTTTTATTTGTCGGTCTCTGGCGCTATGCACATGCAGATCCAGGCCTCAAACAAAACATGGCTTATGATCGTGCAATCGTGCATCTTTCCCAGCCGTCTGCCTCTCACCGTCTTCAGTTTCTGATTCTGTGGGGCACACGTGCGCACGACAATGGGTCTGCTCCCTTGTTCGCCACAGCCAGGGAAGTGGCCCCTTCGCCTCCTGCATGTGTCCGTGCCCTGGGTTGTCTAAGTGAAACCTCCGGTCTGTCCTTTTTTTCTTCCTTGCCAGTCCAGCAGCCGGTCCGATCGATTGCGCAAAGCAACAACCTTCCAACAAAAATCCCCGGTCTGCACTGCAACTTGCCGGCTGGGCCGCCCCCTTCTTTGCAAACTGTCAAAACTGACTGACTACGATAACACCCACCACCCCCTTGGTTTCTCGTGGAGCTTTGTCCAAGCATAAGCGCACACCCTCCGTCTCGCTCTCTCTCTCCTCTTGCTTGCTTGCTTGCTTGCTTGCTTGAAGGCCAAACCCTTCAAGGTGCTTCGGTTTGTCCTCTAGGCCCCTGTCGGGGTGGGAGAGTTGGATGCTCCCTCGAGTGTGCCTGCTTGTACCCCCCCCCCCCCCAACAACGCCCCTGCCAAATCATGACCATGATAACCCCCCTCTCTCTCTCTCTCTCTCTCCCGCCAGGATTGTGGTGGGGAGTTGCCTCCCCACCGCACGCGAGTGCGCCCCCACCTGTTGTGGGTGCCAACATGTTTCATGCAACCGCACTCAAAGGCTTGGACTCGCGAAAAAAGGATAAGTGCAGCTCCACGGCACACAAGCGGTCTCACTCTCTCTTTCTTTCGCCAGTTGGCAGTGGACTGCTATCGAACAACAAGAACCACAAACAGCCATGAAACAAACAATCCGCACCCCTTCAAAGTCCAACTGACCAAAGGCTTTCAGTGTGTCTGGGGTCGTGGGCAAGCTGAAAGAAATGTACTGGCCCATGAATTACAAGTCACAGCACCTGTGCTGTGCTGTATGGTATCGTCAAGCTTTGCCGGAGCAGGCTCCGTTTGGACTTTGTCTTGATGAATCTAGGACTATTTGTAGCACCCTCAGCCCGATAAGTAGCAGGCTGCTCCTGGCCGCTGCTGCCCAACGTCGTAAGAGGAGCGGCCGACTTCTTCCCAGGCGGTGCTGTCAAGGACAACTGCCCCACATCCAGTGCCTGCGCTGGCAGGAAGGGGGTCGACGGCTCTGATAGCTGTGAGCTGCAGGCCTGCACAGAATAGCGGCAGCTGAGCTCCACGGCCAACAGTGCTCCAAAGCCAGTGGGCAGGCCAAGCAGCAGTAAGAGATCGATGCCAACCAGCCTTGGCTAAGCGGTACATGGCCTCATGGCCTGCTGCTGAACACATGACTCAAGTCTACGACAGGCGACAGACCAGCCATGTCTGCAATCATCTCATCGAGAGCTCCGAGAAGCATCGAAGTACTAACCTGGGACATTCGACAGAGCAAGCCGCTCTAAAGTGCGCGAGATACGTTGGCATGAATGCCGAACTCCTTCGTAGTTGGAAGACTCAGCTCGGGAAACTCGAGTCTACCTCCCCCGCTCACCAATGCCGATCGAAAGGGCAACGTCTAAGAGCTTCCAAAACATGCTCGAGTCTAGAGTCCGTCGTTGTGCTGCTGGAGCTGTTGGTGATGTATGGAGATGCTAGAGGGCTGAATTTTGAGGCACTGACAGCCCCGTCTCCGTACTGCGCGCCGAGAGGCAGTCACTGCTCGCACAGATGCTGCAAAGCGGAGCGCGGCTCGCATCTCGCTGTCTTCAGGCGCAGAAGGGCCACGCAGCAGCAGCACCTGTGACCATGGACCAAGAACGACGACATAGATGGTGCGGCTTGGCATGCTGTCGCGGCTCTTCCAACTTTCTCGGGCATGTTACCTGTCGGCCATGGACGACATCCCTGGCGAACATCTCCTGGATTTCTAGTGGGGATACGTGCAGGTCATCCCAATGGCGCCTGTCCAATGCCAGTGCCTTGGTTTTGCAGTGCTCATCACCGTACCTCACGACTGCAGCATGCCGTCACACTCTTATCATGGTAGGTGCCAAGCTGCATGGCAATATTTGCCAGCGGGAAGTCTTTGCTTCACGTGTTGGCCTACCGCAGGGTCCAACGAGGATGCTCGAGCGACAGTACCTTGGTGCGCCAGCTGTCAGAAGTGTTAAGCGGCTAATTAAGCGGCATGCCTGACCATTCAGTGACCCACAGAATGTGAAGTGGGGCCGTCAAGGCCCTAACCGATCCGGAAGCGGCTGTCGATGCCCTCAGACACCGTGTCCTCTGCTGCTATGCAAATGCCGCAGCGCTCGGGATAGCCACCTGAAGCAACAGGTTCGACATCCCCCATTGCAGACATGCCATGACTCCATTACTTCCATCCTGTGCCTAAGCGGGCCAGGGAATCCAGAAGACGCCCTCGCGCGACTTGATCCATGCCAACCTGACTCCCAGAAACTGGTGCTTCAGTAAGCCCTTAATTGTGGGTCAGGCATGCACTGCAACTCACCGCGCTGGTTGGCACAATGAGAATCAGCCGCTGTTTTGAAGCAGTTGCTCATGCGCGTATCGCGCCCCACACTTGCTACAGAAAGCTGGCACAAGCTACACCACCTACATGTAGTGCATGCAGTTTGCCAGAGGCCATTTCCCACCACTTGCTCCAGCATGCTCTTTCTTATCGCCCTGCCTCCTCTTCTGAAGAAGGCAGGCGTGCAAACGACGCTCCTCGTGCAAGAAGGATGAAAGTAGAGAACCTTAGCCGGTACTGGCGCTACAAGTACCCATGACCTAACAACCCAAACAACCCAAAGTGCTGCAGTTCAGGGGCACATCGTAGAAGTTGTGAGTTTCTTTCACTCCTCGAAGGGACGGCTGCTGCTGCCCAAACTTCCAGACGTCGGCGAACTCTGTCCTTCGCGGTCCCACTGCGAGAGCCGCAGGTAGAGCCCTGTCAAGTCCTCGCATGAAATCCAAGCCCCATTGAGGATCCCCGAACTACGACGGATGTCCTCCTGATGCCAGCGTTGATTACAATCAATGGAACTTGCCGCAACCTAGCAAGCGGAGGCTTGGAGCCCATCTGAGCTTTCAGTCAAACCCTTCTTGACAAGTCAAGGCGTGAGACCCAATCCCCGTAAGCTAGCCACGACCAAAGCAAAGGAGGGCAGCATCCGCATTGCAAAGGCATGTTGCATCCAGTGTCTCCGATGCTTGGCAGGCTGCAGAGCGAGATCCCATGGCTTTCCTGACTCCCTCTCGTAAGTTTTTCCAGCACTTGCTTCATGGCAGAATCTGGAGGTGTTGTCGATTTCAACGAACTCAGTTTATCATGAGACCGCACAGCCATGAATGCGATCCCGGTCGCGAAGCCCTGAAGAGCCACATGCCCGAATGCCAGATGGTGGCTGACGATTTCGAACTCCGCAGCAATGTGACTCAAATGTGTTGGCACCTCGTCCCCAGAAGAGCGAAGAGATCCCAAGGCCTGGAGGCCGTTCAGATCTCTGGAACCGCGGCTAAAGCTCCTGCCTTACGGCGACTTCGCTGGCCTGCCCACGAGGCCCAGTTTCCTGGCGAAATGTACCTGGATCGCTGCTTGGAGTCTTGCCTCCGCATCCTTCGTCTTCGGACAAAAAGGCTGTCCGCACGCAGACAGCATCGAGGAGACGCCCCACTGACTTCCGGCACTTTCGGGATGTAGGCGGTAGTGCCTTGGCATGTAGCTCTCGGTCGCACTCGTCATGCTACGTGGTTTGTAAGCCACACCAGGTTTAAATTCTACAAAGGATGCTTGCCAGAATTTCGACTCGCACACTCGCTCAAGGCAGACACGGCTTCCAGACAAGTCCGAACCTAGAGTCCTAGAGCACCTCACTACACAGCTGCGCACGAGTCCCAACAAGACAGAATCAACAAACCCCACATGTATATCATATTATATCATGTTATTCAAGTATGAACTTAACACCATGCACCACCCAAGGCCTCCAGGCACTCCCACACAAGCCGTTCCGGACAAAGCCGGAGTGCTGTGGAAGGGCGCTCAACAAACCACATCTCCCAAGCCCCAACACTCGCAGCAATACCGGCAGATCGCTACGCCAAGGCTAGAGATGCTAGAGCTTTGAACGTACATCTGACATCCCGCTTCGAACAGTGTAACTACAGTACAGAAGAGTCAAGCTTCCAGCTGCAAGCTACCGAATTTCTTCAGTATACATGTCATAGTAGAAGTGCAGGTGTCGTGCTTCCAGGGATGAGTCGAACACAGGACTCTCCAGGATAAAGTGCCGTCACAATTCTCGGCGGTTGTCAAGCACCATATAAGGCGCCCAGGGCTGCATACTCCTAATCGACCACCTGCAGAAATCTGTCTTTCGCAGTTCATGTCCGCGAAGCTGGAAACCACGGTCAACGAATCCACTCCCAGCATTTTCGCTTTGGTTCACTGCCTATCAGACCTCCTCCGCAATATCGGCCAAGGCAACCTCCTGCCTTAGAAAACTCCATCGCCTTGGTGGCCTTGCCGCGCTCCTTGAGACACTTCACCAAATTTGCAGCGCAGCTTTGGGTTTCGTGGTGCTCGGCCCCATACTGCACACGACAACCTTCCAGCTCCTCCCGCGAAAGCTCTTCTGCCTCGTGCCAGTTACCGAACTGCTTCAGCAAGTCACGTTCGCGATCCACAGCTCGGCCACTGTAATCTTCGCCCAGTCTGACGGGGCGCTCCTGTCCTGTGGCAGAATCCCGCATCAGCTTCTCGGCCATGTCGGGCGCTTGCTGCTCGAAGATGTTGCAGGCCATGTCTTTTGTTACCAGGATCGGGATAGGACGCGCACGGACTCAGGGTCGGTAGCGTCACGAAACGGCGTGCCGTTCCTGTATACTTGTTCCAGAGAATGCAAATGCCACAAATGCCTTTTCCAAAATGGGCGCGGGAGTCGGCCAGGGAGGCAAAGAGTTCGGCTGCAGTCAGCTCCACATTGCCGACATTCTAATGTTGGTATATAGGGATAGATGACCATCACATCGTCATCTGCGCCACTGAGATCGCGCAAATCAAGGCATTACGCCAGATGAGGACAGGTCCGTCAGGACAACTGATCCTCGGTGCCTTCGTAGAGCTCTCCTTGGAGGTAGGCTCTCACCTTGCCCCAGCACCTTTCCGCGCTCCTCCCTCAATGCCACGGCTTGGCATGCTCTTCCTTTGAGAAGCTCCCCACAAAGTCGTTAAGCTCAGCTTGGGGTGGCAACTGCTGAAACTTTGCAAGTACGAGGTGTTTCTTTTTGACTAGCTATGCCCAGCACAGGGTGCGAGTGCCAGTCAATAGCTGAATTTAGCGCTCATTTGGTTTGGCTGCGGCAAGGCAAGCAGTAGAATCCACAAGAGAAGCAGCAGCAGGCAGCTCTGCTTGTGATATCGGAACTGTTGTAATGTCATCGAGTCTTTCAAAGGCCCCGGCTTAGCAGGCGCTCCGGTGAGTGCGGCCAGTGCCTGCCGGTCTCTGCTACTGCCTGATTCTGTGATTCCTTGTTTATGGCCTCAGCGGAATCACCGCGCTCTGCTGCCTCCAGGGTTTCAGCTTTGAGCCCCTCGTCCTTGACTTCACATTTTTCAATGCACCGAAGTTGTTGGCCTGGAAGGAACCGTTGATCCGGGCCCATGCCTGTCAGCTTGGGGCATCAACCACCCGCGCGTGTCGCAAGGACCCCTGCCTTCTCTAGCAAAGGCACCCAAAGAGCACCCGAGCAGCTCGAGGAGAAAGCAAGCGCTCGACTGTCTGGCACCTGATGCTTCAGCCGCTACACAAGCACTTCCAAACCTGGCCCGAGTCGACCATGCAATCATTCAGCGACATACGGAAGCACAGGTTCCAAACCGAGAGCCTGCATCTCTGCAGACAGCTTGGGGGGAAAGCTGCGGCATGGTAAGCCTTCACGCGCTTCGCGCATGTCTGCATGGACGCCTCCACTTGAACAGCATGATGCCAGCACGATAGGCATGTCAGGTCCCGGCTGTGCGATACAGGCACCTGGGAGTGGAGGGCGGAGATTGCCCATGTTGACGGTATATTATCCTAACCCTCGGCCTGCTGCCATCGTCCCGCGCGACACAATCGGCCTCAGAAGGACGTCAGTTACAGTCTATGGATGCTTTTCGCTTTTGCCTGCATGCGCTGCTGTCTGAGGCCCAGCAGATGGAGACACCGGCATCCTGCCCTTTTGCCGTTGTAAACACAGCCTGCGTTGGCTGCAGTTTGCTGTGGCATACAAGCAAACATCACACGCTATAGGTAACTGAACCTGCTTGAGCAGGACCGGCTGCACCTGCGACTGTGAGTGAAGGATCTCTTGCGAATCAGAAAACATTACCGGAAAAGGGGGAGACGTCTGCCTGCACGGTAGCTCTGACCGATGCAACTTCTCATATCATACGTACCAAGTGTGCATTGCTCAAGGCAATATTGGCAATATTCGAAAACAACAAAAACTCCCTAGCTTCCTGACAAGTTTCCGTGGGGCAGCCTTTCAACGCAAGTAGGTTCGCACTGTCAAGGGTCAGGACCTTGATCCGCCTTCTGCGTTGAGACTTCCGTCTGCAAGTCGTCCGAATTTAGACGAGATTGCTCCTTTTCCCCTGCCCCCCCTGTGTGAGACGTGCACTAGGGAACGGCAGACCCGCAGCGCTGTCTGTGTGATCATCCCAAGACAAAAGACAAGACTAAATTTACAGATTCTTTTTTCTGCTAGTTTGTGTGGCGTCGCAATTTTGCAGCAACCACCCACTTTTACAGCACTTCGCTGCTGGAGGACTGCCGGAGCCAGTGCCGGTGCATGCCGAGCATGTGCCGAAGAAGCAATGTAGGCTCCCATTTGGATGCCTGTAACCAGGACATGCGAGTCACTCCGATCTAGCACGCTTGGTTGATGGCTTTGCAGCAGCTGACCTGAAGTCAGTCGTGACCGCCAGCCCGTCAAGAAGGGCAAAGACTTTCCAGGAGAATCACTGGAACAGCCAGCTGAGAGCCGGGCGCCGCCCTTCGCTTTGACGACTGCCTCTCGATCTTACTGGCTCGAGGTTGCTGATAGGTGAACTTGGGCTGGATACCAGGCCTTGCTCCCTTGACTACTGCTTGGTGCAGCATCTCCCAAAGATCTGCTTTCTTGTTGTGGATCCCCTTCCTTGGTTGCTTGCCATTGCAATACAAGTGCTGCCACATGAAGTGCGCTCCGAGCTCGGGGCATGTCCGCAACTTCCGGCCTGCGAGAACACACTGCCAAACGCTGCCAGAACTGGGGCAAACAACGGACCACACTGCCAGTTCAACGGTAAGTGCGACAAAAGTTCCATCGGCCCCTATCTACAGCCCTGTTAGGAGACACGAATCAGCCCCCGACCCCCGGCAGTCAGGGGTCCGACCCGTTCTTCAGGGGCTTTGCGGGGAGGTGAAAAAACATCTCCATGTCTCTCTCAATCAGGGCCATGTAGGAAAGAAAGTGCAGGCAAGCAGCATGTCTACGTGCTGAGTAAACCACAAGGTTGCCGTGTCGTCCGCCCTATCGATGGACCAATAGGTACCTTCGATAGCGGCAGAGGGAAGCAGCCAACGATTGCAGTTGAATGCCTAGCGAGCCGCCTGAAGCAAAGCCAGTGTCTGAGCCATGGTGCAGGCAGCACCACCCATTCCATACTCTGTGCCGTTCTTGCGGTACGTTCCGATGTTGCCAAGATAGTTGACCTCGCTGGACTCAAATGATCTTCTGGAGCACTGAAGAAGCTGGCTTGATGCAGCTGGGCGACTGGGTCTACCCCTTCTTTCATACGATTCTTCTCCAACGCGGTCACAGATGAGGAGCTCAAAAACCTTTGCCCATCATCCAACTTCCCTTTCCGCATCAGCATGCGGACCTCAGTCAGCAAGTTCTGATGCTGTCACAAGTTTACTACTCCTGTCGGTTTTGGTCTCTTCATGCTTAGATCGGCACAAAGCGTGCCGTGTCAGCAACTGTGCTGACCTGGAGCATCGCGAGGCTTCGTGCTTGTGGGCATGGCCAATTGTGAAGGAAGCACCGCGCAGCATGCTTTCCAACAGACCACCATTGATGCAACATGTCTGTGTTGCACCAAGCTCACGGCTAGGCCGCCATACAGGTAGCCCATGAAGCCGCCACCAGAATGAACTCCTGCGAAAGTGGCCCAAAGGCTACTCACAATCCCGACATCACATGACATGAGGTGCAGAGACAGGAAATGAAAAGTTTCCATGCCAACAGCTGCAAGCGAATCTTCGAAGTACGTTCGAACGTATGAAGCTGAGGAACGGCATTCTTGTCCCTGCAGCCAATGGCTCTGACGCCTCGGCTGGGTTCTGCACAAAACCCCAAAAACTGCTCCCAATCTTCGCATTTCAGGCAAGGCACGCCGTGTTGCCATCAATGCGGACAAGGCTTGGGCGAAGAGCGCTTGGCATGCCGCCCTTCTGGCCATACAGCCTGAAGCCAAGCACATGACTGTGGTTCCGGAGTCGTGGGGGGGGGGGAGGTCGAGGGGGCACTCTTCCCAACAGTCGGAGATGGGTAGAGGAAGGATGGTTCTCTGCAACGTGTACCTCCTGGGCAACTGCAAATTGAAAGCTGGACAGAGCAATTTTTTCTGGCATTCTGGCCGAGGCTCTTCTTCCAGGTGGGCTTATGAGCATAGCCTCGGCAAAACTCAAAGCTACACACACAGAAGATCGGGCAAGATGTGGGCTTGCGCCTATGAAGCCTCAAACCGAAGAGCCGGACATTGCCTGTAACTGTAACCAGGTGGCAAGCAGAAAGCTTGTGCAGCTCGTCTCTTCGAACAGCCCACTTGGTATGCTTCATGCCGAGAGGTTCAAAGACTGTCTCGATCAGAACCTTTCAGACTCCACGGCCATGACGGGATGCGCAATGATTTGAAGCTCAAGCCTTGTCCAATCTCTTCTTCTCGACGACCTCCAACACTCTTCCCAGCACATCAAAGGAAAATCCATACCAGTAGGAGTTCCTGGCAGCTGGAAGAAAATCAATCGCCGAGCTCTCCTCAAGCGCGAAGCCTGCGGTCGACATCTGGTCCGAGGCTCCCGGGATGATCTGAGAGAGGAACTCTGGCAATGCCTCGCGCGAAATCGGCGAGTGAAGTGATCCTCTTCTGTTGCCTCAGATCCACCACAAGAAACCGCACCAAGATGCACCGCCGGCAAACATCCGAAGCTACCAGCTTTACTTGCAAGGCGTCAAGGCTCACATCTTGCTGTAGCTGGAGATAGGCCCGCGAACTCTCATCCTCTATAGTCTCGTCCACATCCGGGGCATAAGCAATTCCTGAGTAATCGGCATCTGCACCGCAAGTGAGCAGCAAGAGCAGCTCAATACTTCTTCCCACTGGTGCCTGAGCAGTGGCAAAGGAGATGCTTCAACAGGATCGGGCGCTTTGCCGCGACAGGCGCGTCTACACCTTCCTGAGCTTTGCTTGACAACACAGGGGTCGTCAATGGAACTCTTGCAGCCCTAGTGTACATCTGGAGGCCAAACGATTCCTGCCCAATATGGCGAAGCTGATGCGGCTTTGTCCTAACAAGACCAGTCGCCGGTTGAACGAGGACCTTTCCAAACTCGGGGATGTACTTGTCCAAGCCTTCTGTTGCAGCAAAGCTTTCCGCTGCTGACTGCCGGTGCTACTCTTTACGCAGACTGGGCCCGGACGGTCGTTCAGGTCCAACTTGCCAGCTTCTGCCAGCCTCAGCTTCGTTTTCTGCAATCCACGCTGATCTGAACAAACCCCATTGCCAGTAAGCCACCGAAACACAGCAACAGCAATGAATGGCTTGGTGGCCTGTCGACAATCGAAATGTGCCATGACACCATGGAGAATGATAGTCAAAGGACACAAATGGCAAATTGCAAACGTCTGCACTATGCCGCCGAAGGTCGCAGTACATGCGGCAATATGTGTCGAATGTGAACGGGATGCCACGCTCCATATCCGCCAAGCCCACTGCATCCGCCAGAACCACCTGTAGACCCGGACACTTTTTTGCGCCCAAGATCTGGCTCTTAAACAAGGCTTGGCACTCCTTGTTCCTATCCTGCGCGAGAGCAGCAATCGTGTGGCCCACTTTCCGAGCCGCCTACAAGAAATCGTCAGGTGAGGCCTGCGGTGCTCAACTGTGCATCGCCGACGTGATACGCCCACAAGCTACCCACAAAAGACTGCCACCATGCAGGGACCCTGCACAAGCTTGTTGCAGGAAAGGCAAACCGAAGGTGTCAGGAGTGGCACGTGCTCTTGTACCCCAGAATGCCATGCATCCTATTGTGGTGTGCAGCTGCACAACCCGACAACTTGGTTTGCTGGATCTCCCATCATCACAGACGCAAGTAGATAACAAGTCCGGGCAAACGGGCCGGCTGGCCAAATGCCGCCTCACGAAGCCAAATGCTCCAAAAGGCTCCATGCCACACGCGGATGCCCAGAAGTCTTGCCTAACAGCTGCCTAAAGCTAATTCTTTTGGTTCTTTGAAACAGTTGGAGTCCCACTGGAAAATAGTGTTCATGTCGATCGCTCTGCGGCCAAATGGTTCAAATGCTATCTGAGTGCAGCAGGCATTGCCAGAACGCCTTCTGCGACTCAGCCGCCCGACGATGAACTGTGGAGGCTCTGAAGATCGAGCGACGAGGTGTCGCGCGGAAGTCTATGACAAGCAACTTTGAAGTTCGGCACCCAAACTGCCAAGGCTTGGAGTGAAAAGGCCATAGGACTTGATTGCTATGGCAAAACCCAAGAACCTGGGCGCAACATCAGGCTCGAAGCATCTCACCGCCACCGCGGCAATGTCACATCAGCCACTTCCTGGCAGACACGACCCTCTGCCAGACCTGTCGTCCAACTCGCTGACTCTGAAAGCACACTCTCGGGTCTGGCATCTGCTGTCCTCCACCTTCTTGTATGCAACCATGGCAGTCCCGTTGGCCAACTCAGCACTCTCACTGTGCGCAACAGGCTGCCAAGAGGTGAAATTCTTGGATCCAACGCTGATGCTGTAGCAACTCGGCGTCCCGACTGTGCTCCGTAGGAGACCGGGGGCTAGGCCCCGAAAGAGGAGGCCGGTCCGAGCAGCCTCCGTCAGCAGCGTCCAGCAACTCCTGCAGTTCATGTTTTAGCTAGGCTAGGCAACTCTTCTCCCGCGAACTTCTCTAATTTTTCGACCCGAGGTCTTGGAATCGAAGTTGCCACTCTGCCTTTGGCTTTTGATGACGTCCTCAGCTTGCAGTTCGGAAGCTAGGAGCTAGACTTCATGCATGGGAATGGGAACCTGCCGCCCGCAAAGGAAAGGACCGAACAAGCCGAGCGGCAAGAGGCCAGATTGTAAGCCATGCCATGTTTGAGCAGATTGCACCCATCCAGAATGGTGGGATGCCGGCAGGGTTTAGGGAGGACAGTATATCACGGTAGATAGAGAAGCTGCTGAAGAGCCCCATGTTGCGCACGATGGTGACGGAAGAGCCATGAAGCAGGGTCCTGGCATTGACAAACTATGTGGCATACCTTCAATATTCCGGAGAGTGGGTGTAGCCCAAATGCACCTGCCGATGTGGCAGGTGCCAGACGAGGTGTGGCAGCGTACGGGGTCGAAACAAGGAACATAATGCAAACACCTGTTCCAATGTCACAGGATACTGGGTAAGGCAGACAGCTACCGTCAATTTGAAGCCCAGAGTCCGGAAGCTCCACGCATGTTCGACCTGCCTGCAGACTTTCACCAAGTCAAAAGGAGCCTTGCCGGGACAGAAACTGAAGAATGACATGCCAAGGACATCTCATCGGCCGCATTACACCCTGGCACCATGCCCACGGCTTTGTGCTTGGTTCCGCCTCGATGACACCACGGGCGAAGCCTCCCATGGCACCAGCCAGAGCTATCTGCCTCAGTGGCTTTTTCAGGACAGCTTCAGCTCGATCGAGCGATTGTGCCCTTTTGCTGACGTGGCACCAATCAAGAAAGCCAATCTTGTATGGAGGCGTCGCACTTCTGAGATGCCTTCAGCAATGCTCAACTACAGCTCACGAAGCCTTTGCGTTCTTGCTGCAAGTAACTGTAGACAAGCAATCCAATCATCCACAACGCAAAAAGTCTGTAGACAGGCAGGTAAATAGCAAGTATAGCTGCTGAACTTGTGAGAATATTACAACAAGTAGCTGCATGTTTCTGACTATAGTTGAAAATATTATACTATATTATAATATTTTGTATTACATTAAATTATATTACATTATCTTTTATTATATTGTAAAATATTGTACTACATTATATTATATTGTATTATTTTACATTATATTATATCATATTATATTATGTTATGTTGTATCATATTATATCATATTACAAAAATATGTAAATGTGCATGTATGCAGGTATGTAGGTCATGTAATGTAATAAAATGTAATGTATTGTAATGTAATGTAATGTAAAGGTATGCATGCATGTATGTATGTATGTACGTTTACAAAAGAGAGAAAGATGCAGACACAGATGCAGACAGAGATAAACTTATACACCTACAATCACCTATCACATGCATGCACAGTTACTTCAAACATACACACAAGCATGCGCATACACAGAGACCGCTCTTGTGCGCAGCCAGGAGTCCTGAGAGCAAAGTCGTAGAAGCCAAACTGCGCAGATCGAAACATGGTGCCACCAAGCACGACAGGAAGCCCTCCTGCCAGACTCGTCATGGTGTTCGGCTTACTTCTCTCACACTGCTCCGAAGCCTGAAGCAGTCCTCTGTACAAACCCAGTGGCCCATGGTTCTGCAGAATTTCTGCCCCCACCCTCCATGCGCTTGCACGGACGGCATCGGGCTTCGCCTGCCTCGTGCTGGTTGCATGCCATGTATGTTGAATCATGTCCACGAACAGAAGGCGTGGCTGGGAAGCGACTCCAATGCATGTCCGTAGAATCTCAACATGGCCATGTTCCCCAACATCTACTCTTGGAGTTCTTATTTATTCTACAATGCACAAGCAAATAATTGTCTGATCTGAGGTAACGGTTGCACCGCTACACTCCTTGGGCTCGAAGAGTGCATTGCCATATATGACCGGGGCTAGGCTGCTTGAAGCCGTGGTGCATGCGCGTTTTGATTGTGTCGAAGGGCTGCCCGACTGCCACGGAGGTTAGTCCGTATGCAGCGCCCGCTGTGAAGCTCACGAGGGACTTCCAAATCTGCCAAAATCAAGGCCGCAGATTGGCAGCTGCCGCCGCATGCTTTCGAAACTGAGCAGTGCCGGTCTGGGAGACCTAAGGAGTGGCACTGCAAGCCTGGGTGCTGTGAGCGACTTGGAGCTCCACCTCGACTCCCAGCGGCACGCCGCATCCTGCAAAGCAGACCATGCGCTGATGTCTTCAGTCATGTCCGACCAGCGCTGGAAGAGACGGCTCCTTCAGACACTTCGCTGAAATCCTTTATCTGGCTGGCCACATTGGGCGGCATGCTTGGCTCAGAAAGGCAACGCAGCGTCAGTCCCTTGGGCAAAAACGCTACGAAGAACCTTCAAACAGCTTGCGTGCTCCGGGCTCAATGTCTCGCACGATCTCGCACGCAATGGTTACAAGTGGTTTCACGCCTCGCCCTTGTGGTAGGCAATGCTGACACAACCGGAAATAATCCCTTGGTAGGGGGGTGAAGCAACACATGACGCAGCTTTGCATGTCGAAGTTGCTCTGCATTGCGGTTCTTCTCGGCCAGATGCCCTTGCGTACCACAAGCCGCATTTCTTTCGCCTTGAAAGCAGGCTTTTGTTCGGTGAGATTAAGTGAGCACGGACCAACCCAAGACAAGTGGCATATTCCTGCCTCAGGTGGCAATGCGATGTCACTGCCAGGCTCACTATGCAGCGCACCGATCAGGCCCCAGCAGGAGCTTGTGATCGATTCCCGTGCTAGCAGGATCTACCACCGCAAAGGCAGCGCTGCCTGATGCAAGGCCGAGACGATGCGTTACAGTGACTTGAAGCAGGCTTGTCTGCCCCCTGACTCTGGCCTCCCGTGGTCTTTGTCAGGGATTTGACCTTTCGGCCTTTCTCCAGAGATTTGCGCTTGATTGGCATCGCATCAAGGCCAAGGGGCTCGAGCCGAGAGTCTGAACACAACACATCCTGTCTTAAAAGAATGGGCACTCAGAGGATCTACAGTAGGGCTCGACAGACTCTAGGGGTGCCGGCAGGGCTACCTCTTGAGGTCGCTTCTGTCGAAGGTTACACTGTACTTCATGTGCTAGAGACACCGTGAGGCATTGCGTGCACAGCCCGATGCAGCCTCTGCTATGGAGCTCAGTGCTGCCAGGAAATAGCAGTCTCCGAGCATACCCTGCGAACACAATTCATGTGCGTCCAAACATGCATGCCTTGCCGCAGCTGCTTAGGAGAAATGCTGCAGCACCTGTCGCACGTCCATGGGCTTGGGCCCTTCTGGAGGAAAAATTGGCACCTTGGACCCCACATCAGCTAACGCGCCAGCTGTCAGATGTCTATATCTGGTGAGTTGGAGCCCAGCGGTCTTGGAGTGCCCGCCAGGGCAATTGTCGACTCGTGACCACCTGTTGCAGATTGCAACATGCCACGCGCCCAACGAGCACAGTTGTTCATTGTCATGCTTAACAAGCACACTTCTTGGAACACAATTCCAGGTTGGGGATTTCACTGCTGAGCTCCAAACACCAATTTGGCGAAGAACTCCGCCTTTACACGCGGTAATGCCTCGGGGTCACTTGGACTGGCAGGAGCGCGGGATCTGCCCTGCGGTAAGGACTGGCGCGCCTGCCAGTCGTGGCAAAGTGCGCCATTGCTCGGTGGGAAGCTTGGGTCCTGACAGCGGACACAGGCTGTGAGCACGTGTCGTGCCGAACAAATGATGTTCCCTGTGGCTTCGCTCAAGAATGACGAAGAGACGGGCCAGCGAAATCTAGCGAAATCCAGCGAAGTATTCCGGGGCACATGCTCCTCCCAAGCCCCGGACTGCGTTAATCGGGCCTGGGCCAGGACTCAGAGAAAGCTTTTCTGCAGCACTGGAGTACGCTGGGAGTGCTGAGCCAGCAGCTAAAACGGAAGAAGCACTTTTGTAAGCCTCCTCCACCTGGACCAAAACATGAAGCTGTGTCACCGCAAGGCAGTCGACATTAGCTGGCAATTGACAATGGAAGTTGCTTTTAGACGGCGAGACGCCTCAGCTGCAGCGGCACCGTCAGTCTGAGCTTCTCCGACTTCACTTGCTGCTGCACCCATGGCTAAGGCTTCCCTATCATCTTGCCCACTGCTTTCTTTTCCTAGCAAGTGCAGTGAGCTCACAAAAGAACCCGGTAGGTAGATCGCTTGTCAAAGGCCATGTGCATGCTGAGATTGCCTCGTGTAACACGGGTTGGAAGCCTTTTTGTGACATCATCTGGGACGAAAAGGGATCTAGCCTTTGAAGAGCTTGTTGCTTGGCTGGTTGAAGATGGGCAACACTTGTGGCATCAAATATGGCTATGGGACCTGCTGTTTGCTTGTCACTTATGGAAAGGCGCCTTGGTTACCCCTGGCCGGCAAATGCTCTCATCCGACTTCGTCGGCCGCTGCATAGCCAGCTGGTGGCTTGATCCAGGCAGGACTGAAGTTTTGATGCCACGGCCCAAACACTGAACCGGCTCGCCGAAACAAGATCAAACTCCTGAAATCGTCTTCACCAGGCCCAGTCAACCTGCAAGGCTTGGATCACCCTCGTTGGCCCAGTGAAGAGCATCTGAGCATGTCCCCTGGCCTTTGCTCCTGCTTGGCCAACCTGTCTTGAGACAGAAAAGCCTCAGAAGTGACCTCGGAAGAGTATGGAGCGCACTGAGCACGAGCTTCCGCACATCACAAACTTTGCAGCATCATCTTGCTGCATCGGAATGCTGCAGGAACTCACATATCATATCATACCATATCATATCGTATCATATCATATCATAGATAGATAGATACATAGATAGATAGGTAGATAGGATAGATAGGATAGATAGATCTTCCTCACTACCGATAACAGCCGATAACATCGGCCCCTGAAGCGGGAGCTGAGGAACATCCGAACTCTATTGTGCCGAGCAGCTTGGGCAGAGCTTGGCAAACTAGGCATCTCAGTAGCAGCACTCGTGGTTGCAGTTCGCGGCTTTGCCTGCATCGAAACCCACAAGCATTCTGGAGCTGTCTTGCAGGCAGCAATGCGAGGTCGGCGAATCGAAAGTCAGCTATAGGCCCACTAGTTATGCTTTTTCTGTCATTCCTCCGCTCCCTCCTGCTTTCGCGTAAATGCACAAAGGATGCACGCAGCATTCTCGCATGGGAAACGCTGCTGCGACAAAGTGTCGGGAGGCAGGCGCCAGCGCCAGTTGGCCGAAGCATGGCGCTGCCAGAACTCGCCGTTGTTGTTGAGCACGCCGCCGGGAAAGTAAGCAGAAAAGCCGTCTGGGCCCTCCAACTTGGGGAGAAGACCACGCTTGTCCAGTTCCGCCTTCATTTCTGGATAGACTTGCGCATACCCAAAACTGACCCAGGGTGCCAGTGCAGTAGAGTCCGGCTGCCGCGGCTCCATATAGTCATAGAAGTATGCCCAATGAGTAAATTGCACAGGCGACCAAACAGAATCTAGCAACAACAGAAAGCCGCTCAAGTTTTGCATCTTTGTCTGCCCGCCCTGCTCTTTTGGGTTTCCAAGCGGCCAGTGCACATACCGCACGCCCTCAAGTATCGTATCCCAGGCAACATGAGTGTGCCCAAACACATGTACTCGTGGATTTACACGTCGAATCTGTTCCTCAAGATACGATGAACCCGAAATCTTCGGCACATGCTGGTCGTAGGAGAAGCGCTTCTCCAAAATCAGTTCCTGCAGGGGTCATGCAATCATTGACAGCCTGTCTTGTGGATTTCTAAACCTTTCGCTGAGGCAGTGTAAAAGGTTCAACATGCGAGTGTGCGCCTGCCGCGGACAGAAGTGTGAATAGCTCAGAATCTCACCGCCTTCACGCCTCTGCAAGTCTAGCACAGCAGAAATCCAAGCTTCGTTCCTCTCCGCGAAACGTTGAGCCAGATGATCAGATGTCTCGCCACCCGGCCCGAAAACAAAATCCGGCGCTTCGGCGAGAGAGCCCCACTTGCACAAACGGAAATCACTCACACGCTTTTCGGGATCTAAGGGGGGCTGAAGCTGAGGGGGAAGATCAGGTTCACGGTCCCAGCTGGAATGGTACCATGACCAAAGAGGCAGCAGGAGCAGGGGCTGCTCCAGCCCCAAAATACGAATGGGGCTGGTGTACACCTTCAATGACTGGCATATGTCATGAATACGATCAAGCTTCTCGAAAGAGTCTCTGGCAGGGGCGCATCCCTTCTTCTCTCCGTGAGCCCATGCCTCGTGATTCCCAAAACAAAAGCAGATCATGTGAAACGCCTCTGCGAGCGCCCGCAAGGATTCCTCGAACTGGTCCTCACTGGTGCAGAGGTCTCCGGGGAGCAGGAGGCAGTCGTAGGAACATGCCTTGTCAGAATCGCGGCGAGACATGCTTGCCAGGCAACTCCTCATCCATTCCTTGTTCTTCTTATGGTCGATGTGTAGATCAGACATCAAGAATATTCGGAACTTGTGACCGTCTGGTACTTTGACGTCCGTGACCTCGTCGCAGTCAGCCCCTGGAAAGGGCCTCGTCCTTTCGGCTCGAGCTGCCTCGGCCTCGTCAAGCTCATCCCAGTCCAGCATCGATTTTTCTGCGTCGCTCCCAGCGCAGGCATATACGACAACTGGCCGAGACTCGCGACTGTAAGCCAAAGAGCTAACAGCCGTAAGCAGGACGGCCGTATTCAAGCAAGGACGAAGCAAATCAACTCAGGCACCGCCGAGCCTCATCGTCCCACGACATGCTGCCTCATGCGACCCCAGCTTGCACACCGAAAGTAAAGCCCAACCCACCACGCCCGCCAAACAGGCCTGAGTGCCGTATTGCGTGCGATGTCAAGCTCGGAGTCTGGAACACCTAAGGCTAGTCAGTGTCACTTCTGTCTCAGAAACCCAGGAGTGACAGGAGAAGCTCAGCGCCTCATGAGGTGCAAAGGCACCAGACGAGGCGTCAAAAAGAGCTATCGTGACAGAAGCGCAACGTTCTCATATCTTCTGATGACCTAGGGCAAAAAAGTCGCTTTTGTGATGTTGTTGGCCTTTGGCTCCGGTTACTTGCCACGTGGTTCGCCTGTTTTTTATGTACGTGAATACCTACGCTGCAGCCTAGTGAGATCTTTGGCAGCCTTTCACGCGAGCACATCTGCGTTGCGCCCATGCATCAAGCCGCTAGCAAGTCAACAACAGTCTCCCTGAAAGCTGCTCCCAACTGCAGCAACGGCAGCCGTGCCCCATTTTCTGTCAGAGCTCTCTCTCACTGATACAAATGAAGGGCTGCCGATTCCACGATGATGAAGCCTTTGGCGCTGAGGAATGCGGTGGCCAAGCTTGCTAGCGGCTAGCTTGACTTGGTAGTCTCGGAGCTCCGCAGCTGCCCTGCCTCCACCGTTCACGAAGCTTTGGCGATGGGCTGTGATGCCGTGGCGCGCTCGCCTTCAGGACGCTCATTGACTTCATTCTCGCGGAGAAGAAACAGAGTCCGGGCGGGGTGCACAGAAAGTCGCATGCAGGATTGGTGCATCGCTTCGGACGCGGACCGGGCATGACAAGGGGAATGGAAAGGCATCACTGGGGTGCGCTGCCGTTGATGTTGATCTTTGCGACCTGTGATGTACCCCGATAGCAATGACTACAATTGCCTGAATGATCGTGCTGCACTGGAAAGCCGGGCGATCTGTGCAGTTTGCTGCGTAGAGAGTTTGATTGGTGAGTGGGGGGTGGACGGGGTGTTCATGGGTCTCGAGTGGTATTGGGCAGGCCGCCACTGTCTACTTCGCGGTTCGAGCCAATGTTCTCCGTCAAAGACAAGGCGTACATAATCCCTGGCTGTCTGGAACCAGCACAAAGGAAACTTCGGTGATTGTTCTGCGCTTTGCTCCAGCCGCTGTATGTCAACAGCTGCTAGCCATAGCGGACAGGCAGAGCAATGAGCAATGCCTGCGCCTGCATCTAGCAGCGCAGCTTCGAGCTGCGAGCTACGGCAATCTGAAAAATAAGTGCGCCGGATTGCCAGTCCTGGTAATCATTGCTACTTGTCCTGGAATTTATAGGTTCTAGATTGACAATCAGTCGCCCGAGGAACTTGGAACGTGGTCGAAGCTCACCCGGTGCCGTGGTTCTTACTTTGCAGTGCCTTGACCGCAACTGTGTCTGTTCCCCTATCGCTTCGCAAAACTGAAACTGGGAGTTGCACGGGCATTCGCGGCCTTGCAGGACGACCAAGTCTTCCAACCACGAAAGGCGGTGTGTAAACCGATGCTGGGCCGTGGAGTGCGAGTTGAAAGTCGGCCTGCTCCACTTTCGGCGGCGCATCCTGTAGTCAATGGACTTGTCAAGGTGCACTTACGCTGCGACTCTTGCAAGAAGCAAAGTGTGTGGCTGATGTGCGTAACATGGCGTCAACATGCGCCATATGGTGGTGTTACATTGGCTGGAAAATTCGGTTTAGGCTGGACAACAACACTCTTCTAAACCCCGGGGTGGAGGTGTGAATATCTAGACCGGAAAGGGCTCAGCGCCCTGTCCTTCACCATGCTGAACGCTGTGAACGAAGCGATGTTTCCAAGGACCTGAAGACGAAGTGACGAAGCACGCGACGTCACATGCTTCGAAAGGCGCCGTCAAGCTGTTCAGCTGCTTGGGCCCTTGCAGCGAGGAGGAAAATGATTCCATAGTTTCCAGGTGGCAGCCCCTGCGAAGAGTGCGAGTACCAGTGAGTACCATTCACGCCTTTAGCAGCATGATGCTTCCCATGGCTTCGGAACCTCGAGTCCGAGAATGAGCGACAATGCAATGGTTGCTGCCTGTGGGCCGCAAAGCTGGCACTTAAGGATCAGCAGTCCCAAAGATTAGGCCTTGTTGAAATTGCCTGCGAAAGTGGCATGCGTTGCAGATAGCTTGTGTACCTAGTGCCAGGTTGTGTCAGGTACCAAGTGAAGCAGAAACAGCTCCAGGGCACCATGGTATACTGCAAGATGTTGTAAAAAAAGGACAGCACCTTTAGATGCAACGTTTTGCAGATGAAGTCGTCATGCTCTCACGTGGCCGGACTTCTGCAGTACGGGCCCGCACGCCCGAAACAAGAACCGGAACCAGCACAGAAGGCTTCGTTGACCTCGCCGTTGCCAAGCTGTTGCATGGAAGCTAACTGACCCAGGAAAGCCTCCAAATTTCAAAGGACTTCAATTCGGCTTTAACACTGCCCCACGGGCCGCACCCTCCAGATCTGAGGATACAAACGCAATATACCGCATCCAGTCTAAGGCAGGTGCAGGACTTCTTGCAGTACCTGCCAGTCCGTCATGCTTCCCGTGTCCGGCCTGGCACATTCAGTTTGTAGTCGGATATCTATAGAGTTCCGCAGTGTTTCAAGTCCCGGTTTGTTACACTGAGGACTTAAGACCCATCTCTTAGGATGTGGCGTGGGCTCTTTGGTGAGCTGAGCCTTGAATTTGACCAGGACTGACGTACAGCCGTACCCTGCTGAACTACAAAGTTCTGTCTGCTTTCCATTTAAAGAAACCTGTCCTGCACTGGGGCATGTGACAACTACCAACTACCGCAAATTCACCGTAAATGGTGCATCTACAAGCATGCCAACATGTCAGGGCGGCCACTGGCTGACGGGGTGGTAGATCAGGAGCGAGGGTGCAATCAGCGCGAGCCTTTGTTCTAACACCGACAGACAACTTCGAGGCAGGCTGACAGCGGTTGTCGAAGGTTCAACTCCGCCCTTCATAAAGATTGAAGGCGAGACTCGGCGAGCCAAGCGTCTCTCGCTCAATCTGGTCCATTTGCTTTCGACACTGCAATTCAGTTTCATTGTGTCGAGCCAGCCGCCGGCCGTCGCATCGTTTGTGTCTCCTACACCTTGAGGGGACCTACCAGGCTTCAACGCAATCTCCTTCGCCAACTTGGGAATAAACCGCTGCGGGCGAACTGGCACCTTCTGGGCTTTGTCAATCCAAGTTCAAGGTCATCTGTCTTGACTCCGTCAACACACCCAGAAAGAGAGACGGCTGCTAATCAACGACGGCTTAAAGCGTCTCCGCCGCCGCTTGTCGAAGAGTTTGAGTCAAAAACACAATTAGATCTTTCGGCAGAATAAACCCATCCATACAACCGTAAACATGACTCACACAGACAGATGCGCCTAGCCCACATGCGTACGTTACAGATGGCTTCGTGAGCAGGAGACGCCAGAACCTCATGTTGCTGCGCGCGCTTGCGTCTGTGCGAATATATTCCCGGAAAAGATTACCCATTTGCTTGACCTTCCACGTCTACTAATGATTACTACAAACCTACGTCAGGATGTCCCAATGATCCAAAGCACTTGGGAGCGGCTGCATGCGCATAACTCTGGCGGAATCGGATTGCTCCCGTCTCGTGTGCCCACTCTGTGACTTGGGCCGGCAATCTGGGTCTTCTGTTCGTGATGACGTCGTAATGGAGACGTCTGACTTGTGTTCGGAAAAAATGGACCCTTCAAACACCAACCACTGAGTCTTGCATCTTGTGTTGTCTGTTGTCGATGAACAGTCAAACTTCCTGTGCTACAAGCATTATGAACAAGTTTTGCTGGTGTATTCTATATAAACACCTAAATGATTAAAAAAAGTGGAGCAAATGCAGGTATCTGAGAAAGGTGAACAAAAGGTAACACACCAAGAGAAAGGTAAACAAAAGGTATCTGAGAAAGGTGATCGGGATTGCCGTGGCTTGGGTCGAATTTTTGTGGATTGAGAGTTTCAGGCTCTGGGAGTCTTCGGGGTTCGGCCGTAGTTGTCAGGCTTGCTGGTTTCACTTTTTTGTTGAGTTCTGAACCTTGATTAAAAAGGTAACGCACCAATAAAGAAAGGTCTCTGGAAAGGTAGCACACGAAGAACAAGGGAAGTCTTCAAGTAAGCACGGGCATTGCAGTCGGGGAGACCGGGAAGGGGGGGGACCCGGGCTAAGGGGATGGTGTAGGGATCAAGGCAGCTGGGCAGCACCAGGCTGTGCCCGCTTGCGTTACCTTTTCCTGACACCTTTCCTTTACCTTTGTTCTCGCCCTTACCTTTTCCCGGCACCTTCGTTTTGCCTTTGGTTTCACAGGCCCGCCTTCTTTGTACCTTTGCCGCTCACCTATTTTTTACCTTTGGGTGAAGCCTCACCCTTTGCAAACCTTCTCCTTCACCTTTTGCTTCCCTTTTTTACCCTTGCTTTACCTGCTTTTTGGCTTTTCCCCAAGAAAAAGCTAGATTTCCAGGGAGAGGAGGCGGGGGCCGGAAAGGTAAAGAAAAAGATAACCAAAGAAGGCGAAGCGGACCTGCGGCACGCCACATGCCACCCGCCCTCGAAGAAGCACCTCTAAGCCACGCCCCACACCTCGAAGCCTCTATCTAAGCTTAGTGAACCCAAACCGGTGGTGGCGGTGCTCTACCTACTTCTACCTTCTTAGCACCTTCCGTCTGCCTTCTGCCTGTACCTTAGTGAAGTGTGAATAGCAGAGGAAAACACTTAACTCTCGGTAACAAAGCCGGGCGCAGCCAATCGTATACCCAGCAGGCCATCATCTAAGGACTCAACATGTCCTCCAACCGTATGTCCACGTTGTGCATCACTCTTATGCGATCTGCTATGGAAACACACAGGAGCTGTCTGGCGTCAAGACGCCTCTTGACATTTCTGGGGACAGCTTAGCTTTTTCGCTTCCTGAGGCTTCGACAGGGTTGTCTGTCCCTAAGATGCATGTGTGGAGCGACAAGATTCATGCGCTGTCTCAGGCCGAGCTCTGCAACTCTTATTTCCGACAGTCTCTTACAACCGAATGGACCGGTAGGCACATATGGTGGGGGGACTATCATTTGTTTCGGTGCCCGTGCATTTCGACCTCTGCCTGTCCAGCCAATTTTTAGGACTGCAGTTTCGAAACGTACACCGGCAGAAACACACCGTTTTTATGCGTCTGTTGGGGGGTCGCAAACATCTTCGAAGTCGTGCTGGCCGGTGGGATATTCGGGGGGAGCTAGCGGTCGGACAATTATGTGTCCCGATTGCCACGGAAGAATCTCGTAACAGTCACTGGCTCGCAACAGCAGACAGTCAGCGCAACAACATCTGAGTCGTGTGGATGTATTGGTTGTGACTTGGTGCTGCACGCGGTTGGCAGCGACATGTAGCATGTGGTGTCTAGCCTCGGGGCACTCGAGCAGAATGGGCATGTGCAAGGCACGAGCTGCTTTAAGATGAGCTCTGCGCGGATTCATCTTCATGCTGGTACCCAGGATGCTAGCCAGGACCATGTTGACGGCACCGGCAAAGATGCTGCAAACTGTCACGAATATGCCCAACCTGCAGCAAGAAGCATGAACATGACGTGAAGACATGGCAAACAAAGCCTGTCGAAAGCACTCCTGTACCTATTGGTATTTCCGTGCACAAAGCAGCTTCGGGTGACCCGCACAAATGCTGCTGATTAAGGCCTCCGTTTCATCGGAACCGGGCAGGATAGTGCAAAAGCAGCTAGGCATCATGACAGTGCAAGAAGGAGCAAACCTTGACTATCTGGGGCGCCATGGGGTTCGCTTACGGGCACAAGCTCCGCAGCTCTGCACATTCTGCACAGCCATCGTGCCTAATCATACTTCTGCTTGTTAGTTTGCACATCAGAACTAACAGAACAGGACAATAGCCAAGATGGCTGCTACTTTACCATGCAGTTTGTTAAGTCAACCTCCGTCCCGGGCTGACGAGGAGTGTGTCATTGTTCCTTTTGTTCCTGGCTGGCGACCTTGTGAGGCCTTAGCAGGTGGAAAGTGCGTACAACGAGGTCCTGTGGCTCCTGTCCTTGGATGACACTTGCCGTTTGCAGAGATCCTTGTGGTGCTGTGAGAGGGAGCGTCGTGGAAAGCCTGTTGCTGCACAAAACTGCAGATTTGTGCTCTTGGCTCTCCAAGTGGCTGTGTGACATCGTGTTGTGTGGTCAAGGCGGCCAGATTCAATACGCATGATCTCCAAGTCCATGCGGAAGCAACACAGCCTAGCCGGCTGGCCATGTACATGAGTGGTGCTGGTCACCAGCAGTGTTGTCGAGGGAAAGCAGTTTTTGAGGGCATTGCAGACGGAGAGTCCCACCGTGCTGAGCGGTTGCTGGAGCCCCTCCCACTTCCCACTCAGTTTCCTGACTGTGCGCTGCACTGGCGTTCAAGAAACGAGAAGCTTAGCAGCGTGCGTGAGGGCTGCCGACTCTTCAGCATTTGTCTGCGAAGTCGTCTTGGCCTAAGCATCTCCGCAGGTCTATGCTGCAAGAGTTGTAACTGGATCACTCACAATGTGCAAACGGACACAAGCATCACCCAAAGTCCGAAACACAGTGGTGACGGTGACAGTGACGCTGCCACCCAGACAACGCTTGTGCATGTCATGTTGGGTATTGGCTTTGCCCCGAAATGCCGCATGAGACTTGCCGAGCTTTCCACATAGCTGGCTAAACCCGCGCAGCTTACGCCTGGACATTGCGTTGAGCTCTGTGAAAACACTTATACTTGAATGCTCCAGAGCCCCCAGGCCTGCCAACATCAGCAGCCACTTGGTCGGCCCAATGGACTGCAGCGTTCAACATGGCAAAAGCGTGTCCAGTGCGGCCCTGGCCTTCCGTTGTATCCCAAGAAGAGATCCAAGAATCAGTTCAGAGACTGCCTCGAGTTGAGAGTGACGCTGCAAGGTACGCCCCATCACGCGCTAGGCCGTGACTGTGGAGAGCGGCAAACAGGTACGGATGATCATATTGATCCTGAGGACAGGCTGCACTGCTCAGGCAAGTGGACTTCATCTGAACGGGGCCGATTCCGTCTTTGCATTCCATGCCACTGTGCGAGTGCAACGTGTGTTGAGCTGCTCGCGAGATTGCCACCAGAGACAAGCTGAAGTTGTTCAGACCGATGTTCAAGGCGAAGGCCATGCTGAAGCAAATCACGGCCACCTCGGAACACGTGCAACCAAGCAGGCTAGTGAAGCGTTCGCGAAAACTGATGGCTGAGGATGCGGCCCACTCTTTGGTAGATTTCAGCTGCTTCACCTGATATACACATTGCCGCATCGCAAGGCGACGACATCGAAATCATAGCATTTCGCTGTTTTGCATAGATCATGCCTCGTAGCCGGCACAGCAGAGCCGGCCTCACACGTCGGAGAGACAGTGGTAAAGATCAATTTGCTATCGCTGCAGGGGCCTGCGACGAGAAAGATGCAAAATGCGATGAATGCGACCATCCTGTGAAGCAAGGCGAGGTTTCAAGCTGCCACGACCAAGCCTCGTTGAGGCATTGGCTGCTGAATCGCCGTGAGGAGGAAGCCGATGGGAAGGCCCCGTCTACCTAGACGACTGGTGACATCAATGCCGGCAACTCGCAGAAAAGCTGGCCTTGATCTTCATCGACCACGATTCTGGACAGCACATTCTTGATGTACAAGTTCATGCCTGTCTGTGCCTGCAGACAGCAAAGTCATGAGATCTCTGGCCGCGTCGCAGCAGAATCTCAGGGCTCTGCCCCAAAGTAGATCATCAGGATGGACACGGTCTCTGGCCCTGCCAAAAGCGAAGGCACTTGTTCTTCAGGCCGTGTCGTACGGGGCACGAAATATGCAGCTTTTGAAGGACCTCATGCCCGGCATGTAGTTCATCGTGTTGTCTCTGAACGGCTGCCTTCTCGAAACGCACTGCCCGCCTCCCATTCCGTAGAGAGCCAAACCGCCCAAGAGAGCGACAGCTGGTGGCGCCTGAGACGGAGGCGGCAGACTTTTGAGGCAATGCGACAGTGAAGCCGCTGACAAACAAAACGAGTCTGCAAGAGTGACTGCGCCACTATGACGAGTGATCATTAGCTAATTGGCTTGCCCAGAGACACGCACGCCACGGATGCAGCAATCACTATATTAAGACAAAGGAAGGGGCTGCTTGCTTCACGAAGCCCACGGATGCAAATGCCGTGTCCAGGTCCTGCAGATTGCACATGTTGAAGGAACCCACAACCACAAGGTCAACTTAGAAGCGTTTCCTGCTCGCTCGGATTGCCGCCATGGCTCCAAACTAGCCAACAACAACCGACCTTGCAGACTCAAGCATGCAAGGCTCTGGGTGGAGGAAGGCTGGCGGCTAAGTTGCGACTGACAGGAGCAGAAGTGAAGAAGCGAAGCGCTTGGGCCGTCCTCTTCTTCCTTGGTGACTTGCCGTTGGGCTCTGTTCGATTTCTCTGGTGGCCCCATGTCAGCTTGGCCGCGTGGAGGCAAAGCCTTGGCCTCACGTGAGAGCAGAGGGCACGATGTGACATGTCCGCAGCGACAGGACACTTGAAGCCCTCCTCAAGATGGGCGACGGGCACCAGCTCCTGAGCAGCTGCTCCATTCCGGGCTGAGAATCAGGTGGAGCCTTCGCATGCTCATGGGCCAGTGCCACTTTCAGGCCCAGGCCATCGGCAGCCCAGCACAGACTGCAGCTCACATAGATTCATGGACGGGGCCGATCCAGCTGCAGTGGTAGGAGGCGTTGCAGATTTCAATCCTAGTCTGCCATCTCCGCAAGCCCTCCGCTTCTTGTCTCGGTGATTGCCGAAAGCGGGCTTGTTCTGCAAAGAGCGATGCAAGCAAAGAGAGTGAGGGTATGAGAACACATTGTATATGTACATATAGACACAGACACACACACACAATATATATATATATATATGTATGCCGGGCGCATGCGCTGGACGGTTGAGCGCCGGTGCATGTGTTCGAACTTGTAGGTGCTGGCGACAACATGTGTGCGCACGGCCTGGTCGATTTACCCTGGCCGTTGCCATCTTGCTCAGCTGTCCTGTGCTGGTATGTGCTGTCTTGAATCTGCAGTGGAAGAGGGATTGCGGATTGAGGACAGCCAGAACGGGGCCGCATGAGAGCCTGTCCGCCTCACCTATCGGAGTCTCTTTCTCCCATTCGGCTCAAGCAGGCCAGCACGGCCGTTCTGATGCTGGGATTCTCCAAGAAGACCGAAGGTTGGCAAATTCTTGGGGGCGCACTGGCATGCATGGCCAAAGAATTCCGTTTAGTAGCAATATTGCCAACATTCGCGTAAAGAAGCTCACTGCTCAGCAGAAAGCGTGCCTGGCATGCGTCTGGCGCATGCAGCTAATTTGGGCTCGGACTACAGCATCCTGAACAGCTCCTTGCACTCTGCACTCCCTTAACCCATGCCTCTCCAGGCAGTTAGATGTCCATCGCAGGACAGAGCAGAGCAGACACCAGCAGGACATAGCACGTTACCCCCAAGCGCGTCAGCCAAGCGCCCTTCGCAAGATCCATCGCAAGACCCGCACACCGAGGCATCAGAAAATCCACGGGCGAATGACAGATGCGCATGACTGCGAATAGGAAGCATAAGATGCAGCAGCGTTTCACTACAATCGATAGATAGATAGGCATGATGACTCTGAGCTCATTGGTAGGTAGACAGTGATAGACAGGTAAATAGAAAGAAAGATAGACAGACAGGCAGATAGATTCATACACACATTTCGACCTCTTGCATGCACACCAACCTCGAACACACAAGTCACAAGCACACGCGCACACATACAGACACACACACACACATCTCTACAGTCTACACCTGCCATTTGTTCGTCTACTTACAAGCAAGTAAGCGAGAGTGGCGCAAGGCAAGCATGTCCCAGCACGCTGGGCTGCATGATCCCAGCAATCCAGCAACGGCTGGAATCTCTCTACGAAGTTGCGACACCCCTGAGCTGGCTTACGCCAGCCAAGGATTGAGAGAAGTCTTCTAACGTAAGAGCAACAAACACCCGTTGTGTTGGGGCTTCCGCTCACCATCCGAAGCGAGTCGTTGCTGTGTTGCTCTTACCCAGAAGGTGCTCAAGGGAGCATCTTTGTATCCCGGAGCAAACAAAAACGGCTTGCACTTGTCATCCAAACCCGCTATTAAATTCCGGGCTGGACGGTTCGGTGTGCAACTGGCGAAAGATACGGGCTGTGTGAACCCGCCATGAACTCCGAGGTCAATCATCTTAGAGAAAGAAACCTTCAGCCGCACCTCAGCTGACGTTCAAGCTACTCTTGCCGCAGTGCCGCAGAAGGTACTCGGAGCGAACTGAGCCTGAGGCACGTGTAGTCGGAGATGAAGCTATCAGCCCTGATCCTCCTCGGAAGGGCTGTGGCAGAGCTCTGAAACATACGATGCCTTCAAACCGTACAGAGCTCATGTCGCTGCAGATGCAGATGGACTCACCGCTTCTACCCAGTCCCTCTGGCCATCGCTGCCAAGCAGCAGCTGCGGCAGCGTCACGTCCTTGCCGGGAGTGATGGGCCTCAACCAGGCTGAAGTGAAGTGTCGGGGTTGGGCGGTCTCTGCTGCGCTTCCCTTGTCGACTTTCCTTCAGTCGGAACTCGCGAATGGTCGCAGAAAATCCTCAAATACAGCAGTAGACCGAGGTGTGAAACGGATGTCCTGGCTTGCAGGACTGGTCTTGGTGTGAAGGGGTGCAGCTTAGGACAATCGACAAGCGGCACCGACTCCAACTTGTCGGATGTGGTCGTGCTGCTCTCGCCGTGTCTTTCGCCGTGGTGGCCAAGTCGCAACAAGTGTGGCGCTCCACCCAGGTGACCGTGGGGCTGACCAGTTCCTCCGCTCGACGACGTTTCCGACGGATCCTTGGAGCTGCGCTTGATTTGGCCCTCGAGATGGCAGGGAACTTGTGCGGTCGGTTCAGTGCTCCTGGCACTCTCAATTGAGCCATCAGTCGGCATCGCGCATGAGCTGTGCACCGCTGTCACGTGCAACGAAGCGCTTCACCAGCTGCGAGTCCGAATTATGGACCACTCGCTCCATAAACGTCGGGTCAACACCAGCTGCCGGTCGATACTTGCGACGGGTGTTTGCCAGTCTTCGAAAGTAGCAGCAGTAGATCGGAAACAAGAGGAGGATCGCTGCACTGGCTGAAGTTCCCAAACCCCATGCCCAGGTCGGTAGAAATGGATCTACCGGTAATGGCGGCAGTGGCGGATGCATTTGATCCCATGTGAAGCTCTGGACTTCATCCACTGGAACTTCGAAAGCTCCAAACCAGGTGTTCATCGAGATGTGGTCCGCCTCGTCCTGTTTTGCAGTTTTGCTCTCCGTATACCGCGAACAGTTGAAAAGTGTGTGGGTCCTTGGACAGGAAGGGTGAGACGACCTCAACGGATAGCAAAGGTGGCCCGTTGTCAACCACAATGCCATATTCCTCCTGCAGTTGATGTCTGTGGCAACGCTACAGGATTCTCAGGTTAGTGAAACAGGATCAAGTTACTGGATCCAGGTAGTGCCCAGTGGGTTTTGCTGCGCTTTAATATCGTGCCGGCCACATCCGTCCGGGACCCGCCCACTTTCTTTACTCCTTTGCATAATATCTTGGGGGGGCGCGTCGGATGCTCTCGCCACAGTGCCGGTCTCGTTTTGCACATGTATTGGTCTTTGGGATAGTCCCGGATGTGAAGCTGCTCTCATCCTCGACTGGTGTGTTGTGATATGTTTCAGGGTTTCGGCGCTCGCACTCGGACAATCCAGGGGAGGTCGTCATTCGGTTGATCAAAACTTGCGGGCAGCAAGCCTCCACAGCTTCCATCTTGTAGCCTCGAATGTCGGACAACGCCAAGCCCAAAACAAAGGCAGTGGTGTTGAGCACGGATTCCTGCAGCTGCTGCACATTTCTTTCGCAGACGAATGCACTGTTGCTTTCGAAATCACAGTGTCCTGAATGACAGGATCTCTGGCAAACTCCTGCAGTCATTCCATAAGATTGCCGTTGGCGATTCAGCACAGGCACAACAGCGATTAGGGCTGGCCTCAAACGTGCTGCGGAACTTGAACTGGAGGTAAAAAGTTTTGACAGGTGCACTCGGAGGCTTCCGGCAACGGCGGCTTCGCGGATGAGCAAACGTGCCTGAGAAGGGCCAATGCTAATGCCAAAACGCTGCTTGCCTAAGAAACCCCCCTATGCTGCCAAAAACAAAACCCTTAAGTAACAGCCTCCAGGGCATCGGAGGACGCAGGGCGCCTGCAGATCCTCCCACGTCAGCGGCGAGAGGAAGAAGAGGGCACGGCACTGGGTGCAAGCACTCGCCCCAGGACCTGTGACCAAGCTCCACATCCAGTTCGGACGACTCTTGCCATGCGCGTGATGCGTCTCCTACTCCTGTTTTGCAGACCTGGGGGATGTGTTCGGTCGACAGCATGCAGGACAGGCCTGAGCATTGTGCGCAGGACTCATCGCATGGTCGACATTGGAAAGAAGTCCTCAGAAGAGACTTGAGAGAAGCGAGCAAAGTGAGCAAAATGCACTACTGTCTACCCCTTGCTGCCACGTGAACATGTATGTGGCCAAGGCTCCACTCGTAGTAGCTGCTTGGAGGACAAGCTGTCTCACACGTCCCGTTGTTGAGCACTAAAGGTGTTCGGCAGGACAAGCAATGGATTGCTTCAGGTCCAAAGCACGTGCGACAAAGAACATGACAACGAAGCTCCCGCGAGACCAGAAGCTGGTACACCTCACGGGCCAAGCTTGGCACGAGGAGTCATGCACATGGCGGCACAGGAAGAAGATGCGCCAAATTCATACTGGGCACGAGAGGCACGGTCCCAGCAGCAGTGGCCGTCGCAGAGGTGACCCGTACTTCAAGAAGGAGCCAAGTGTTCACTGGCACAGAGATGTACCTTTCCAGAATCACATCATACCCTCAATTTTCAGCACAGAATTGGACTCTGTCTGACACCGCAGGCCTTTCTCATCTTATTCCGCCAGCACCCACACCGGAACCCCCCCCAGCGCATTCAATGCTACAGTTACTGTTTCGAAGTCCCAGCAGTCTTTTCCAGATGCAGAAGCGGTGCCGAGTCAGAATGCCGGACTCGAGGTCTTCCCAATCACTGCCATCCACCCGCAAATGAAGAAGGGCTTCCGGGTCGTTCTTCGAGGCAACGGCTCGCGTCCACTCATAGCCTCCTCCAGTGTTGGGGTTGGCAAAGACCAGGTACTGGCTACGTCGAGGATCCTGAGCGACTGCCATACACGACGCGGTCGCCCCAACAAAGAAACCAAGACATCCAAATGTGCCACAGCAGCTAGACCGAAGAGCAAATTTCGGATGGGCGTCGAAGTACATCGGCTCCATGCGCAGCGGGTCTCCAAAACCATCCACGGCCACAAGACCTGTTAGCGTGGCCGCAGCCGGAACTATCGCAGCTGGATCTGGATACCTTTGCCACTCGGTGCAGGAATACGCACAATCCCGTTGCAGCAGCCTGTATTCTGACATGAGCTGCATACGCATCGCTTGTCAGATGCGGCCAACTTGCTGAAACTGGAAGTCCGAAGTGATGGTCGATCGGATGACCACAATCCTTCTCCGGGCTGAAACCAGTTTTGATTAACACATGAAGCAGTGACCACAACCTCTAGGTTTTCAATGCCTAAAGATGCACTATCTCGACAGTCAGAGGCAGCCGCCCAGTCGCTGTTTTCCAAACCGATGCTCGGGCCAAACATCTCTCATGCAAAGCTGCTGGCTGTATTTGCATCTTGGCAGCGTGTAGTTGGTGCTTCGCGATCCGTATTGGACTTCCAAGACAAGATGCGCAGCCTTTGCATGTCCACAATGCATCGGCAACTTGCTTCATCACGTGGCAAGTCTAAGCCGGTCTCCGCCTGTCATCCCTTTAGTCATTGTGGTTTGCCATTGTGCCTCCTCGCTGGGTACATCAGCAAAGGCTGACAGCTTTCCGGAGACCAATGTTTCGCTGAAGTCATCTTCCGGTCTGTGGAGGCGCAGAAGTACCTAGAGGTGGAAACCAAAACACCAGCGAGGTGGGGTATGAGAAGATGATAGCGGGGTTTACAACCAAGCAAACATGTCAACTTCTTGTGCTGAAACCGAAGATCAGCAGCAGCATATCCCTGACGAACCACACAAAGAACAGCAACGGCCAGAGCTTCTTGAGGAACAGTCAAGGAATACCTCATCAGTTCTCCGAGATTGTCACTCGGAGTTTCGCAGTTTCGCGCTCATGGCCAACCCACCTTGACAGAAGCCTACAACCAGGTGCCCGGCTGAGTCTCGAAATACGACCAAGCCATCGGAGCTGCGACTCCGGTGCCTTTGCCAAGCAGTGGGGGGGGTTGCAAACACATGCGAATCAAAAGCTTTACATGCACATTGCGTGGCCCTGTGTACACCTACTATATTACATCATGTTGGTGTGCGCCACACGCACAAATTCCACCCAGCACACGAAGACATTGGTTCGAATATGGCACATAGCTGCAGTCTTCAGCATTCACAGGAAATACGGTCACAGTGTGATTCTTCCTAATCTTGGCTGTGGAGAGTGGTCAATGCCCCTGCCCCCGCCACCCCACCAGGCTAAGCGAGTACAATCGGAGTCTGTGCGCAATGCGCACAAAGTCGAAACGCGACAACACGAAACACGCTAAAAAACACGAAGCCGAAAACCTACATCACTATCACGAGTTACTGTGACTAGGACTGTCGCTGTTACTGCCAGTACTACTACTGTACTATTGCGGTCTTCGCGGTCCTCGCGTTTTCGCGCTTTTCGCTCTTTCGGTGTTTAATGTCGCTTGCGTTTGTCGCGTGCACCTCTGGCCCTCCGCTTAGCTGAGACACAAAAACGTTTCCACAGCAGGCAAAGCCCCTTCCCGCTGCCACATTCATCGTCTACTGCACCCTGAACCGGGCCGGGACGATGCGAAGCGTTTCGAATAACATCTAGTGCAAAACAATTTATCCTATACCTACATATATTTATATTTATTTGAAACAGAATAGAGAGAGAGAGAGAGAGATATATATATATATGGATGGTACCATATATGCATATGGGCATGCCCACCGGCCCCATGATCCACCCGTGCTTCTTGTTCGCAGTGGATCATGGCGGTGGGGATATTACAGGTTGCGAAAACTAAAACATCGCCAGGCTCGAATTTCCCAAGATTCCCAAAACCTCAGCAACTATGGCCCCGCATTCCCCACAGATGCTCTCGGGTCCTGCACCCCCCTCCCCCCACAACAGTCGTTGTTTTTCGCCGCGCACTGGAACAAACCCACGCAAAATACTGGGCGGGAGGACAGCCATCAGGGCAGGGACAAGGGCACCATTTGCAAGGAGAAAACGGCAACATCAAATCCTGCAGCATCGTAACGACCACCAACAGGATTACATTGCTACAAAAAAACGGCTGCAACAATACCTCTGCAGAACACACTGCCCCTGTACACTAGTCTGCTATTTATTGCTCAGCAGCAGCCCGCAGCGTGCGAGCATATGGGAGATCAAGAAGGGCGGGACAAGGCCAAACAAGAAGACCACCCAGGCCCCACTCCACGAGGGGGGGAGGGGCGGGGGAGGTGACAAGGCCAAGCAAGAAGACCAGCCACGTGACAGGCAACGGGTGCCTCCAAATATCCCCCTTCGGTGCAAGGATGTGGGTGTAGGTATGATCCCTGAGGATCTAAAGGCTTGCCCTTACACGAGGACAACACAGTTGGTTTTGCTACATGCAGCGAGAGATAGTGTCTTGAAGCCACTTGACAAAGAAACGGTTACGGCGCATACATTCACGTGTTATGCCATTGCTGAAAGTACATGACATGATTGTAAGTCCTGCCCGCCAGGGGGCATCTAGGATTTTAGAACACAAGCAGACTCTGATTTTCTTTTACTGAGCATGGCGGTTCTACTCACACGTATGCGTCGTAACGAATCATCGTCAAGTGTGCGAAATTGGGCTCTACTACATCAGGTAAGTAGCACAGTGTCGCAAAGCTTGCAAAAGGTACGGTAGTGGGCACTCTTCGTTTTCGCTTCGCTTTGTCAAAGCTCTGAGTTAGGAGAGGATCTAGCTGTACAGAATCAGGTCCTAGGCGCTCATCATGAAATAATGCAGAGCCTATATTACTCTAGTGAGAGTAAAACACGTGTAGGCAAGACTGTTCCTGTGGGAATCTAGTCTTCATGCCTGTAACTATCCGTGTACTGTTGCGGATGTGTTTCGTCGGGATCGGAATCAGCACCATCATATATGCCTCTTCGTCCGAGCCAAGAATGCCATAAAAGAGACGGTTGTGAGAGCAGGATCATTAGGATCAAAGTCTTCTGGTGCCGGTGAAATTAGATTGGCCTTCGGTTCTGCCTTTGGCTTGGCCTTAGCGGTACGTGGTAGGTAGTGTGGATGTAGTGCTGAGCTCGTGCAACATTCGCGCAACTACTGTGTGTGACATGTTGTTGTGTGACTTCCGCTGATCCATCAGCACTCGGCGAGGCGCTCAACACCACGGACAGCTCTTCCAGGACGGGGGCATCGATGCCAAGCAAACGACGAGGTGCCTCAGCTGCAGAGGACGTTGATCTCTGCAGGATCTCAATTTGTGTTGTGAATTCTGCCGCGAGGCCCATCCCGGTCCTGACCAAAGAGAACAGAAACATGTTGAAAACACGCGCTCTGACTGCGAGGGCTTTGAATAATTCACATCGTCATGGTGCAGAGCCTGCCAGGCACCGCTGGAAGAAGCCACTCCACACGAGCCATCGCCTCATGCGCCTCAAGAGGCATTCATTGGGGTCAGATTGTCGCTAGCCACAAAACCAGTCGACAGAAGGGGTACTACAGCCGCGGATCTCCGTCACCAACCATGCCACACGTCGCCATGGCTCGTAAGCCTCCCGTGTGGTTTCGCCTGCCTACCTGTGCTTGGCGGACAAATGTACAGCTACACCGAGCTACTCCTGCTGCTTCATGCGTGGCTTGGTCTCCAATAGCTCTGGTCAGAAGAAGCGCACAGAAACTTTGTCCATCTCCATTGTTCAAACGAAGAACTTCTCAGCTGCAGGCTGTGTTTCGCCTGCTCGCAAAATCCTCGCTTTCTGCAGGCGTCGCAGGTGGTCAGACCTACAGGGCAACTGGCATGGACAGATCATGGGAGGCGACGCCTTCACGTAATTTGCTGGCAAGCTTCCCTTTTGCAACTGCCGACAGGTGCGGGAGAGCCCAGAGAAAGCCGTTTAGGCCATGCGGTCTGTTCTGGACTTGCTATGAAACACATCTTCAAAGCGGATGTTGAAACGGCAAAGGCCCAAAGGCACTTGGGGAGGGTGGAAGCATGGCTCCACCATCCCGTCATCCTTCATTCAGCAGCGGTGTTGTCTTGCTGCTTCCTGGGGACACAGCTCGAATGGGAAGGCTTTGGAGTGGCGTACCAAAACTGCCAACAAATGCCAAATGACCAACTGCCCTGCCAATAAACGAAACCCAAGCCGCAAACATCCTACATCCTGAAATACCTAAGCCCCATGAACGCCCATGATTTCACTCGTTAGATCCTTTACGTAAAGCTTGTGTATGCGGTGCCTGCTGCCGCCGTGTAGACCCTTCGAAGCAGAATCGTAAAATCATATCAAATGTTCGAAGATATGAAAAATCTTCTTCGCAGGCTGCCTTGGTGGGGTATTCAGGTATTCGCCTTAGCTGGTGCCCACCCCACTTCGCCACCACCTCCCCCAACCTCTCATGCAAGTGGAAAAACACATGTTTTGGCAACCAGCTGTAGTCTAAGTGGGATTGCGATGGCCCATTCCGGGTTGAGAGGCAATGCAAGTTCAGTCAATGACGCAAGTTCACGCTTCGGTACCATTAGCATCAACCGCTCTGCTGCGCGAGCGGCTTGCAATGCAGATGCTGGAAGTTTGTGGTTTGATACAAACACCTTTTCAGAAGCGCTTGGGCCAGGCCTCAAAACAAGCAGCAAAAACACAATTCCTGGCTTGTTTTGGGGTTTTGCCGGCACTAAAATGTTCCGCTCCCAACGTGCTAATTATGCCGCGAAAAGCTACTGCAGTTTATATGCTGCCGTATCTTTTGTTTGTCCATCTGCTTTCCAATGTCTCGCATGTGACAGCTTTGGTGAGACGACTAACTTTCCGCTAGAGGTCGCATCAAATCGAAGCGCACCATCGAAGCAGCCACAAATCCTGAGCTTAGCTTCTCCAAGACGCACCGATGTGACAAATGCCTGCAGTTGCTATCCAGAAAAGAAGCCCAGGAGAGCTATGCCAAATGCGCCACCGACAGCAAAGGGCAGGGCGTGTGGCCTCAAGACACGCTCCCATGTGTAGTGTTTGAAGCGTTTTCCCCTAAAGAGTCCTGTGACATGCTGTGACAGCGGTCGGGATGTGGTCGAGGGCTGAAACCCAGCTATGCCGGCCCGGGTGCCCCAGTCTAATCATCAGCATGCCGACCAGAAACGGTCCTCCAAACAATTCTAGAGCAGGTTGCTGCAAGCACTGCTCGGCAACTGTTTCCGAAGTGTGCCGGTCAAGAAACACGTCCTGCGCTGGCACCGAAATTACCACCAACATTGATGACCTCAAACACATGTTTCTCTTCGCATAACAGATCAGCTTGGATGCGAGTAGATGAGTTGCATGTAGTATCACGACACCAGGTCCGCAGAACTGGCCAAGGGATCTAGCAGTACTAACTTGAGTAGGAGGGAAGCCGCCGAACAGCTACTGGCAGCCCCTCAAAAACCGGAGACTCCATGCTCAGCGACGCAACGTGGCAAGCTTTCGAAGCTGAGCCATGCACTTGCCTACAACCTGATTTGGGGACAACGCAACAGCTCCGCGATGCTTTCATGCAGCCCGCCCGGGACAGCCCTCCACGGGGAGTCGTGGGAAGCAGGCCGGGGCAAGCTGACCAACCTTTCCGCTCCCCAGCGCGGGTGACCAACATTCCCTCTCCACTGCAGGGGTCCACCCCGCTGCAGGTCAAGAAGGCGAAGTCAAAGGGTTACTTCTATCACTCACACAAGGTATCCAAACCAGATGCCAAGATGCGGCCAACTGAAATCCAGTTGGGCTGCAGTGCTGGTTGAGCAATGTGCTGGCGTAAGTCACAAGAGGCCCGCCTGAGCCACGAGCCATGCTTTGCCGGTTCCAATCTTGATTTGCCCTCGGGCCTGCGAGGCCGTACCATATCAAGGCCAGCACCGTCGCCAGCACAGAGGAGGTAAACGGCAGCCAGCAAAGAAGCCCCAGCAAGACTAGGACAACTTGACCGCGAGCCTTGGTGATATGCACAGGCTCCTTGCCACTAGGGTCTGGCCAGCTTGTGCTTTGCAGTTGGCACAGCTTTGTCGATCTGAGGGGCCAAATCCCACAGGTGGAAATACTGCCTGAGTTGTTCCGAGATAATTTCATTGAACGAAACCTGATTCTTTTTCCTCACGGACTTCGCGCACTCAGTTTCTGACGAGGCACTGATATCTAGAAGCTCCAAAAGAGCCGAGCATCAAGGAGCCCTGTAGCAGGCTCACAAGAACGGGTGCCACTTCGAGGTCATGGAGCTCCCCATCGGCATAAGACACAATCCAGCCCAGCCTAAGGCGATAAAATCGTCACATGCACATGCCGCGTTACGGGCAGCCAGACATCCCTTGTCCACACCAGGAGCTAGCAACGTACAGGCAAATAGCAGGATCTACAAATGTCGGGTGAAGCGAAGATTTTGTGATGTCAGCACGCTAAGAGGTCGCAATAGTCGTGGCGGTGGTAGTAGTTAGCAGTAGTTGCAATAGGAGCAGCAGTGCAGCAGTAGCAGTAGAAGCAGCACCTGAAGCAGCAGCAATAGCAATCAGGGCCAAGTCTCAAAGCAGAGTTTGCTCCGGAGAACAGGAACTGTACCAATGCTGCTGCCAGAACAGCTATCCATCTCTTTGCAGCCGCTGACCAAAGACCTGTATCGTCCTGGCGCATGGGGGCAGCTGCCGGCAGCTCAGTCCCAAAGAAACACTTGCATCGACCTCGGAGCTGTAATCCGAGTCCAGCTCGGATGACTTTTCCACTGGCCTTTGTGGCGCCTGGAGCTTTAGGGACAAATCACACCACGATGAACGAAGATCACAGGCGCAGCTCCTGGCCTGGCTCGCTGCCAGGAAAGCCAAAGGCGGAGCAGCACACAAAGCAACAAAACCATATTCTGCGACAGGGTCGCCCTGCATCTGCCTGCACAACTGATGGGCATCCGGGCCATGGGCCGAACCACAGGAGCACCAAACCTCTCGGCTAATCTATCTATGTGTATACACAAAACTATAGTTTTGACAACTAACTGGAAGCGAATCAAGTACCCGCAGTGCCGAATACAGTACCGGCTTGGAGCTGCAGCATTTCTGGTCAAAGTCATCTCTAGCCACTACAGGCAACAAAGTCGTGCCGTCCTGTTCGCAGCCAGGATGCAGCAGCTTGAAAGCCAATGGAAGCGCCGCACTGGTCATGCCGAAGGCCCCGTTGCACAGTGCCAGTATCGGGCCAACCTGGAAATCGGCAGCAACAGATGGAGAAGACAGGGGCCGAGTCTCCCTGTCGGCCTCTTTGCCCGGAAAGCTCCAGCAAGCCGCTGAAACGGTAAAGGAGACCAGGGCAGAGCCACAGCAGCCCAGCAAAACAAAATTGGCGGACCTTAGCACCAGTTTGCAAGAGGCATCTTACTCGACCTCTTCTTCCTCTTCTGTCGCAAGGATTTTCAATGATTCAAGGCATGAGCGAAAACACATGTGACCGGGCACTCGGGAGAAACGTGCAGGCCTCGAGATCAACTCGACATCCCCTGCTTTCGTCATCTTCGCCATACTATAGTCACTACGGGAGGTTACAGAATAACAGTGAATGCCTGCATCTCAGTCCTTTCCTTTGTCCTTTCGTTCCACGCGGAACGGCACTACGCGGTACGAACACCGCACCAGCCCGCACCGGCAGAGCTTTCGCTGGTGCTGGCAGAAGTTGGGGCGGTGCGTGCAAGCAGCCCGCACCGGCAGAGCTTTCGCTGATGCTGGCAGGCAAGCATCTGCACCAGCATAGAATTAGATTCGGGCGGTGCGGGCAAGCAGGCACCTGCACCAGCATAGAATTAGAAGTTGAGCATGGCATCAATCTCTCTCGCTGTCTCCCTATCTCTGACCCAAAACTCCGGAATCCTATGCTCCCCCATTCTGCACACTCTTCTCATGCAGCTCCACAAATAAACATCGAAGATGCAGAATGTGAAGGCTGGTAGAGGATGCCGCAAAGGGAATCGCCACTACAGTCAAAGCTGAGCTGCCTTAGTTGCACAAGTCGCCGTTTGCCGCTCCGTGACAAGGTGGTTCTCTCTACTTATGGCAGGCCACCGATGCAGCAGCACATAGCGATTTTGATTGGGCAAACATCGCACAGCCAGCCACCAAGCATTGTGCCTCGACTGGGAGGTCTATGGATAGGCGCCCTTTGCAGTTCTGTAGCCCTGGGGATGCTGCCAAAGACAGCTCCGACCGCGCGTCCAAGAAAGAGACCGTGAAGCTGCAAGCCATTTTGTAAGTCCATGCGCTTCGCCAATTCAGTCAGCGTAAGGCCGACAATCACCGTCTTAGCATCAGCCAGCACTCAGTCTCGTCCATGTACATTTATACGCAGGGTACTGCATCCAAGCGTCGGTGAGGGATTGATATGCTATCCTTGGAACAAACTGTGCATGAGTATGCAATTTGGTGGGCAAGCGGGCAAATTAAGTTGAGGCTTTGCGGGAGCTCTTCGGGAAGGTTGCTGCAAGACATCGGTGCGTGGATTGAGACGTGTCTAAACTTTAGACCACTTCCTGCCAACTGCTACTTCTGAGGGTGGTGCAGGGAAAGACAAGATAGCGAACTGAACTACTACGGAGTGCAATCATCCCATGTCCCACTTCCGGGCCGTCAATCCACAAAACTTTGGAGCACAGCTGAGGCTAGATGCACATCCAGACTGTCGAGCATGGCTGCCGAGCAGAGCATGTCGTGCGAATTTTTGACTGCTGCCGCACGTCCGACAGAGCAATTCAAGCCGACGGTGTTAGAGCAGGTGGGCAATTCCGGCAAGCAATACAGCAGCAAGATCGTATTTTGCCACAGTCAGCATGTCGCACGGAGTCATGCAAGCAGCGCGCCCGAGTGTGGCTACAAACAAGCCAAACTGCAGCCTTCTACACAATGTTATGACCGTTATGCCTTCGCTTCATGAAACGGGCGGGTGGGAACATGTGAAGCGCGGACTTCTGCCATGCAAGCAGGTGGCGGCACGCTCCATAATTAGGCGACACTGTAGCTGCATTTCATGCCAGCAAGCAACCCGTGCCATACAGCACTGCCTGTACATGTAAAGAGGGGGGGGGTGCTGCCAAGCCCAGCCACACTGGAACACTCCAACCGCCGTCCTCCCCTCCTCGTCGTCGTGGAGGTCGTGGTATTCGTCGTCGCCGTTCGTGAGGTGAGGGGTCGCAGTCGTGTTGGTATCGGAAGCTCGCGTGTTGAAGCACTGCATCGCAATGGCAATCGTAGTCTGCTGGGGAAAACCACCGAGCAACAAGCAAATTATAGGGTGAGCAAAAAGTAAGACATAGCGAGAGCATAGATAGATGCAGCTGAATGTCACTGTCACACATGTCCATGCACGGATCTTTGATCTGACGCTGAAGCTTCGATAGAGGCGTGGTTGCCCTACCGACATGACGCCCATGGCTGGGCTGCTCCGAAACAGATCGTCTTTTATGGCTCAGGATTCGAATCTGTGCGACATCTGAAGGGGCTGCCGGTAGCACCCTTTGTTTCAGGATGCCGACAAAGAGTTCGACACGTGACTCATGCTTACTGACGTGCTGTCGGCTTCAGGCAGCTTCAGAACCAGAACGGCAGCAGGAAGCAAGAGCTTTCCATCCTGCACCCTAAAACAAAGCAAAGACTCACGGGGCCGCGGCTGCGAAGTGGATTGGCGCGACATCAACCTGCCCCATAAACTACGAAAGAACGCGAAAGCCTATAGAACTTCTCCTTAAGAAACGCATCCGCTGCCTCGTCTTCAACGAGGCGGTCTTTCGCCGCGCGGCTCCCGAGGCCGGCCGCTCCATGAGCAAAAACACGCTCCTCAAAGACCTCCGGAGGCGAAACGAGCCCGACCCGAAGCCCTCTCGGCTAAGAGAGCTCTCTCTCTCAGAGCTGAGAGCTCCGGCGTGCGGAGGACCTTCGCCGTCTCCGCCGCGTTGCCCACCTCCGCGCGCCATGGTCGGAAGGACTCGAAGGACGGTCGAGTTGTGGAGGGTGAGTCCGGCCGGCGGCCGACTCCCGTGCACGGTGAGGCAGTGAGGATGTGGGTGTTGGTGGAGAGCGAGAGCTAGGGTGGATAGTGAGGACGAAGAAGGCAAAAGAAGCTGTTTCTTTACACCGAGAGCTCTGAGGCTTCGAGCCGTCATGTTTTTGACGCCGCTTCGACGGTAGCCTGATCTTTGCTGAATCTAGGCAGTCGCCAGTGCTCCAGGGCAGCTGCCCAGAAGTCAAGCCTAGTATCAGGTCACCGGTCTCGATTCCTGCTGCAGTGGCCACCTAGGCTGTTGTGGCTTCAAACAAACTTCATCGCTTCCACTCGTCTACTCGTCTAGACCACAGTTCATCCTGTGGCATTGGCATTGTCAGTCGACCACACCACCAGCCTTGCAGGCACAGCAGCTTCCAGCCATGTGGATCATCTAGGCGCTGAGAGCAAGGCGATCCACAGCCCGCAGCTGCTGGTCGAACCACGAAATGCTTGTGCAACGTTGGCCTTGGCGGTCTGTCGAGTGAGGAAAGAAATTGTTAAGGTGCATAACTGTTGACGAGTCGGCTCGATCTCCAGCTCCCACTGCCTCTGCAATGGGTCGCCTTGGAAGCGGCGTAGCATCTACATGATTCTACAGTTAAACTTTGTTGGCTGTGCTGGTACGCATTGCTGCACAGGGCACACTCTTCTGCTGCTGGGCTCGTGCGGCAGCTCTGCCTTCGGTATCCCGAAACTAGCTAAATGCCGCGTTCTCCTCCCAGCACTAGTGGCACTATACCTGGAAGGCCATTGGCATACCCAAACCTCTCGAAACACTGCCTCGGCTGCGGATACAAGATACGGAAGGTCAGCATCCTCAGCCATTGCAGGATTGCCTGATGTACTGGTGTTGACACTAGTTGTCCTATACAAATCTCCAGGCCCGGTGCTTGTGATGGTCCACAGTCAGCTGGCGGGTACGGCCACGTCCGATGATGCTGTCCGAGCTAGCCTCCGCGTGCTCTCAACACGAAGTTTGTCAGGCAGCCTGCCAACCTCCGAGCTTTCACCTTTTCCATCTGCCTTGTCCAGCAACATCATGCAACCGTTGTCTTTCAGGACTGTGTGGCACTGCTGCAGCATCCGCCGAATCGAGCCAGCAGCATCCGTCCTCCAACAGTCCGACAAATCCCGCCATCCGCCAGAGAAAGACTCAACTGGAAATATCTTGCGGAGATAACGAATCATATAACATAACTCCATTCGGAGATAGGCAACCCGCAACCCGGTCCTGGTCAAAAAGCAATCAATAAGTGTCTTGCCAACGATGGCATCAAAATAGCCGGCATCGAAGCGATCCGCAAGTTGTAAAGCCTGGCCATCGGCCATGCGATGCTGTCTACACTGCCTGCCCATGGGAGGCTCAAGCAACTTGTCGAGTAGGACCAGGGCATCCCAGCATTCCCACTGGATGTCTGGATGACGCATCCTGTTGGCGTTGATCACCTCTCCGACAGGTCAAAGCTACGTGGTGATGCATGATGTAATGTGGGCTTCATCGGAAGCCTCCTGGGAGAAGTCCACTCCGATCACTGTGACCTCCATTGCAGCAAGTTGGCACAGCACAGGAATTCCGCCCGAGATGCCGACTCCGGCATCACGCAGCATTGGGGCCAGATGCGAGCACCCACATCCAAGCTCGCAAACTCGCAGAGGCTCCTCCTGAGCACACATCGTAATGCAAAGAAGTGGTCTGTTTCGGAGATCTGTGCCCTGACCTCATGCCACCTGCTAGGCTTCCGGCTGCTTTTGGTAGTCCCTTCAGGACCTGAGCAAAGATCTTTTTACACAGGAGCCGCAAGCGTTGTGGCGACTTCAATCAACTCCCTGAGGCCTCCATGATTGCCTGTAGGACCTGCAGTGACTCGCGGAAACCAGCAATGAAAATGTCAAGAGCATGCCTGCCCAACTCAGCCAACAGATACCGCCACCAGCCGAAGCTTGAGGCCAGATGCAATGTCATTTACTGGACCACTCCACTCCACCGCTTCCCCGTGCTTTCGATACCACCTGCGGCAGCATGTTCGGTCAAAGCCTCGAGAACACCAGGAGTCGGGACACGTCTGGGCCCTATGCTGGTCCCAGAAAGTTCGGGTTTCGTAGCGCCGGCGCGGTGTTTCGCTGCCAGCCCGGGTGTTCGAGGTCCCTGTGCTTCCTGATAGATCGGGAGAACTCCGGGCTCTCACTCCGACCCTCACAACGGAAGAACCTGCCTTTGCTGCTGCTGCGGCTTTGGCGGAGCTTTGTCATGGCCGGGTTTGGCTAAATCCTTTTGCCTATCCTCATGCTGATGTCTATACCAACACTTATGTTACGGTACATCCTGCAATCCCGTGTGGCCTGCACGATGTCGCGGTTTGCTGCCGCGGGCATCTGTGCCCCACACTGGTGCCCAAGCCAGATGCTACACGTCTTTGAGCCAGCACCCACGCACCCAAGAGTGCCACTTACAGATGATGCTGGGAACCCTCGAAACCGATGCCTGATGCCAATGCACTGCGTTTTTGGAACCCATAGGGGTGGTGCAACTTTTCGAAGACTTGTTCTGCCGGTCGTCTGAACATCAGCCGGTGTTACTACCTGTGACCCTCCAATGAACAAAGGCTCTGATCCTGTTCAGCTGGGAAGTCGGCCACACCCGTGCTCCGCACAAGACACAGCGACTGCAGTGACTCTCCCACCTCCCAACCCTCAAGCCACAAGGTTTCATACCGCGGTGCTGCAATCTCTGCTTGTCAGTGAGACACGGTTTATTCCCGAATGCCTGAAACTTGCGGTGATGAAATTATGGAGCATTTTTCTTTCCATCGTAGCAGGATCCCCAACTGCTGGTGATGACATGAGCTGGTTAATCAGACCTCTGGTTGAGAGCAATGCTAGTGGTAAAGATGGGCAGTGGACTGGTTGCGACTGAGAAGCACGCGCCCCCTAATCAGGCAATTGCTATCTGTGCCGACTCGTGACAGGAGGCATCAAAGTCCTAACGATTCCAATGGCTGACTACGCCATAGCAAGCATCCCGGCAGCAAAAGGTGAGCTTTTAGAGCAGCAGGTGAGCACGCGGTTCTGAACCTGAAAGATCTGCTTCCATATTTATCAGAAGTTCCGTGTGGGGGCATTTGTTGCTTTCGACACTTGTGCTGTATTGTGGGCACGACAGGCTCTACGAAGAAAGATGTTCAGACTTTTTAACATTCAACGCCGGTTTTACTTAAGTCACTCCCTGAAAGAAGGCAATCAATCGAGTCTCCTTAACCCGGTTTGCGTGGCATTGGGCCCATGGAGCACATTGAGTGCAATTTTCAATCAAAGTTCCCATCCCTTGATGTTGGGCACCGTGCCCGTGTTCAAAACACCCAATCACCCAGCAACCCTCAAACCGGCTTTGTCTGCGGGCGCTTGAGACCATGCGCTCTAAGGCATGTGGGCAGCGCTTCGCGCCCCTTGGACTACTCAGCTGGGAGCCCGAAGGGTCGCGTCACCCACTGTTCTTGCCGGTCTTCGTGTGGCTGGGGGAATGTATGTCAGTGCCAGCGACTCTACCGGAAGCTAATGGAAGTGCCCAACTCAGGATCAGAGTGACGTTGACGACTGATAGCAACTTAGCAACTTTGGCCAGAAACACGGAATCTGCTGGCTGGCCTCAGGGGCATGTAAACTTTCAGAAGCATCCTGCCAGGGTTTGCTGAGGGCAAGGCCTGTCAATGCAGGGACCTAAGCTGACTCCCACGTGTCTGACATTCCAGGCTGATCTCTTGTGCACATGGCAACAGGCGGGTTCTACTTCAATTCAATCTCTTCGGGGACGCGTGCTGTGTCAGCGTCTGCTTGAGCTGCGCGGTCAGCGCCTTGCCACTCTTCCGAATCAACGGGAATCAAGCTTGAAGAACGGTAATTCTATTCATTGTATGATCTTGCTCGGAATCTCAGCACTGTGCGCGACGCATGGCAATGGCAGCTTCCTGTGGACAGAGCAGACTCTGCGGATAAAAGCAAACCGATGAGTTCCGACGAAGAGACGAGCAGTAGAAGATGTCAGAGAAGGCCAACGGAAGATCACACCAGGCTGGGCCGGGGACCACTCCAACACCACCCTAAGAGGTCACCGCGGATAGACAGGCCAAGAAGCAGACCGCACGCGGAGAGTCGAGAGAGATGGAGACAATGGGAGAGTGTGCCTCAGGGTTTGCCTGGGGCCCGTCTGGCTCCACCTTGGCAATTCATACGACATCCACTTAAAGTTCTCTGCACTGGCTAAGCAGCTGCAGTTCACAAAGGCCTATTTCTTATTTGGGGAATCTTGCCTCCATTCCAGCTTGAGCTGCGCTATGCCCTACTGTGCCCACATGCCTCTTGCCGAGAACCGGACGCTCCCTCGTAGTTCGTCGGCAAGCTTCTTGCCTCCCATGCAGAGCTACAAGCAAGGGCGCGAAAATCAGGACATATCACAAGCATCACCTGCGTCCTCTGGCAGGGCAGGCTGACCTGCACCTGTTCAGCGCAATGAACATTCTAGAAAGGCGCGGCACTTTTGTAGCAGCACCCTGGCTCGGACATGAGCGCCAGACATGCCCTCTCCGCAGCGCGAGCCGCTGTGGAGTGGCCGTTCAGCTCGGTGAAACGACTCAGCCTCGAAGCGGCTGCGGCACATTCTATATAGATTCTCTATGAATTTCGTTTCTGAGAATGCAGGCTCAGGCCCATGAGGCCTCTTGGGCCACCGGGCCAGCCTCTGCCTTCCCAAGCTCCCGGCTCCGACTCCCTTTCACGCCTCTTCTTTTCCATGAGGGCTTCTCCTTACCAGCGCTTGAAAAACTCGCAGTGCTGTGACTGAACTGGAGTATCCCAGTCGGTAGAGGTTGCGGCGCCGCTGTCTCAGATGCTCGGCCCTCGCTCTTCGCTCTTCCTCGTATGCATGACACTGATCCACGAGAGGCCATCGCACTCTGTGCTGCACGCCTCGGAGGGCTGTTGTGGATTTCGGTTCAGCTCCGCTTGCCGACCTGGCTGTAGGCCCATCAACTGGTACAGCATACTTCTGCCAGACCTTTAAAGAGACGCCGCTTTTGCAACAGGCACGCATCTCTTCCTTTGCCGGAGTCGAGCGCCGGAGTTCGGCGCGGAGGAACGTTACGCCGCCGCAGGCAACGCTTTGTCGCTGTGTGGCATTTTGTGTGGCATTTGAGACTGATCCTTCGCAGCTTTTTCATGCCGGCTTGTGCAGCATTCTGGCTCGCCCACACCTCCTCAAGCTTCAGTCCGAATCCATGGCTGCGCAACGGCCTGCGCAAGCAGACAAGAGAAACCTGTTACTGTTGATTACATAGTGGTTGGCACAAGGTGTTGCTAGGACCGAGAAATGACTTGGATTGCAAAAATCTCTGGTTGACTAGTCTCAGGAGAAGGTGCTATTCCATGAAACACATTGGGGATACCTTCTGGATAATCGGGTTGTTGGAGCCCTTCACGCCTCTTCAGAGTGGGGCTTGGCGAGCATCTCAGACAGCTTTGCCAGCCCAGTCCTGCCATCGAACGGACATGGATGGACATGCCGGTAGGAAGCACAACCAGTCTCACTTGTTTTCGCAGGCGATCCTTTTCAAAGATCTTGGTTCCGCGCTCCACGTACTTCATCACACCAGCAGCACCCAACAGGATGCAACCAGCTACAATCCTCCCAAGCAGCAGCTGCACTCGTACTCAGAAGCCTGCCACCAACATCCATGTCTAGCTGTCTAGCCTTTCGAAAAGTGAGCTAGGCCACTTACATAAGGGTTGCTCAGGCCAGGGGGCGTCAGGATGCACAAGCACAGGCCGACGAATGCCTTGGATCTGACAGACAGGTGACTTGACTCTTGAAGGGCATGCTCCAGCAGCTGAAGATCGTATGCTTTCCAAAAACAGTCCCCCAGGCACCATCCTGAGGACTTGAAACTCGTCAATACCACAGATCCGTCGTCTCATCCAAGTCGCAGTGGTTTGGATTAGCTGATCTTGCTCAGAAGCTACCATGGGAAAGCTGCATCAGGACCCACACGGAAGGTAGTCGACTCTGGTTTCCGAGAACTGCTGCTCTTCGAGCCACAAGCCGCAGATCCGACTGTTGCGCTTGATGCATACAGCACTGGGCAGTCTTCATGTGTACTGGGATGTCAAGTTCCTGCCATGAATGCAAAGCAACGCAATGCATGTAACTCAGGGCTCCGGCGGGCAGCGCTTGCCTGTGCGACCGCGTTTTGAGCACGTTCCTGCTGCTCAGCTGCCTCCCCGCACGCGCATCTGCAAAGCCTTCCAGTCTTTGTTTGGCTCCGAGTTCCGGGCATCCAAACGTCGTCTCTCTTCCTTCTCATCACTACGCTGGGTCTCCGAACACACGGCACAGCTTCGTCTTGAACTCTCGGCTTTGAGTTCAAAGCCGCATACGGATCTTCTTCCTGAGTGATGGGTGAAGCTCCTTCATGAACAAAGCATTGAACTATAGCACCTTTTGTTTCACAGCCACGCGCGATAAGCCTATGCCGCCATCGAGGAGAGGCTGCATCTGGAGAGTTGGCGGCAAGCTGAACTGCTCCTTCACTGCAGTAGCACTTCATCTTTCAGTGGACCTGTACCTAACGGATCCTAACGGCCTAGGTTGAGAGCAATCCTGCTGCTGCTGGATCATCTGTGCTGCAGCAAGCGCTGCCTGCTGTGCAGCTTCAGCCTCCGCCTGAAATAAAAACAAGTTGTGCTCAGGATCTTTTCTGTAAGCTCAGCACACATTTATGCCTAAGTCCACAATCATGGTATACATTTATGTATGTGATACATAGGCTCATGATTCTGCAATGTATGTGCGTGTGTAGTTGCCCCTTAGTGGGATGCAAGACGTTGGGCTTCTCGAGCTCGATGCCTGTGCCCTACCAGAGAAAGATTAAGCTCCAAGAAGCAACTTTAGTCAGGTCAGACCCGCGATGCGACCAAACAGCCGGTGTTTATGGGGTACAGTAAGGGCTGCCTGCCTGAAATTTACACGTGAAGGTCGCATGCTTCAGGAGCTTATCTCGACCAGCAAATGCTGAGAGTCCTCTCTTGATTGCTTCTGCTGCTCGGCATGTGACTCTCTGCACGTATCTGCGTGCTAGTGCGCATAGATGCACAAGTGCTTACGTGTCTGCATCCGCACGCGGAAATCGAGAAGGATCTGTGCAACATCTAGGAAAATCATTTCTTTGCGTTGATTGTACTATTTCAGATAATGTGCAACAGCCGATTCGTTTCCGGATGCTTGTAGATATGCGGTTGCAGGCGAATGATGCCTGCGAAGCCTTTGGCAGCGCTTCGATTTTTTCCCTATCTACTCGATTTTGTCGAGGAGGGACTGCAGTGCACATGAAGCTCGAGTCTGCATGGTGAGATTCGACACGAAGAAAATCTTCTACTGACCGTTCCGTCAAATTTCCAAGCCTGGCCTGAGCGGACATGCTTTCGGCATGTGCGCTGAGTTGAGCCTCATAGAGGCAAAGCCCAAGCTTGAAGGTTCAGGCTGCCAAAGCATGTCGCGCTGTGTATGAATGTATATGGTGATAGTGCATAGGGTCTTGCAGAGCATGCAGAGCGTAAAGGCGGGGTGCATCCACTCTTCGCACATTTTTGTCCCACTTTTCTTGCCTTTGCCCTTGCCCTTGCCCCTCCAAGCAGACTGGTCCGACCTGTCCATGCAATTACAGCAATCTTCTGCATGCACTGCGGGATCGACTATAAGTGCATGCTGGTGTGAACAAGCATCTGCGTACAGCCATCGCCTCCGTCGAGGGTCAGAAGAAACCGTTGTCACATTCTGTTGACAACGACGTTCTTCTGCATCGAACCGTGCACAGGCATCGACAGCAGCCTGCCAAGCCTGCTTCACTCTCGTCTGGGGCATCACAAAACCAGGTTGGCTAGTTCGGATTCTCCCTTCCTCGTCCTCACGGCCATTCCGCGACACCACGGACGATTTCGTCAAAGCAGTTTTGTGCTGTTGGAGTTCCCACTCGCTCAGGCTGCGAAGCTCTCCTCAGAAGGGGATCGGAGCGTGTCCAACGGTTTGCTCTTTGAAGCGCTTCGTCCCCTGACTGCCTGTTGCATTAGACCTTCTGCAGTTCTGCGCACGCCAGAACCCTACTCATCCTGCTCTTTTTCCGTTGAAAACGCATGCTGTAGCTGTTTGCTTGGTGACTACTTCCTAGGATCATCATGCCGGGGAAGCAGCTAAGGGCTCCGATGTCTTCCTCCAGCTGAGGACCTACTAAGTCCCACCTGGCCATGGCACGCTTCTGAAATTCTGAAACCGGCTGCGACGCAGCGCAGCTGAACTTTATGACCACACTGGCTGCTGTGCCTAATTCCCGACGGCTTGCTGGCAATCCGATTGCAATGCACGAGACCGCTTGGAGTTGCAAAGGCATCCACCGGCAAGTCGTGGCTCTCCATCCTTAGTGCAGTGGCAAAGAAACCCCGCCCTCTCTGAGTTCTCCACAAGCGCTATTACCTACTCTGATGAGACTCATATCTGCGTTGAGCTGAGCAGGCTCCACCACTTGCAAGTCGTGGCATATGCTGAACCTTGGTCTGGCAACCAAACAGAGCTGTTTGTCAGAATTTGTGCAGTCAAAAGGCACAGGTGTTGTGTCGGGATCCGCTGCACCCAGCGCCGTGAGGATTCCCCACTCTACCTCGCGCCAAGCGATCGGGTGCATCTTTCACCGTGCCTCCAGCTTCCAAGCTGCTGCGCCTCGCCGTAGCCCTTGCCCTTTCCCAAACGCACTCCGTTTGAGGCAACCACGCCTTATCACAACGTTGCAAAGCAAGTCAGTACTGCATCTACTGCAATGCGCTACTGCCATAAGCATCCGGGGAACAGCTAGCCACGACGACCACGTCCACAAGCGGGATGTCCTTGATATCTGTCCCATCAGTTGCCACATCGAAGTGGCATGTTGCACCCAGCCGAGGCTCGAGTAGTTTTACGGGTTTGGCCCACTTCAAATACTCTCGCCTCGACAGGCCCGAGATCACCAACATCTGCAAGCCGATCAGACCCTGTGAACCTGGCATCTGGGACCCCTGGCTTGTCTCCGGCCCATTCCAAGGATCTGCTTGGGAAGTGGTCTCGATGAAGTTCTAGATAAAGAAAATCTGCGCCAGGGTATGGTGGTACAAGAACCTGAAGTCTTTCTCGTTTCGCTGCATGCGATAGGGCTGCGCATGAGTGGTCACAGAGAATGCTGCGTCAAAAAAATACTTCAAGGAAAGCACGGTCTTTCCTGCGACCACCAAAGCTGTTCGAAGAGCTGCCGCACCAATGGAAGGGTGCACCTTCACCACTGATGCGTTCTGCAGCTCCGGAAGTCCCAGAAGATGCTGACCTGCAGCATGGCAGCATCGACGCAAGCATGCAAAATCCGAAAGGCCCGAGAAATCGCTTCACAGAAGGCCGACACGCCAGAGCTGATCCAACGCAGTTGGGAATTCGGCCATGGCATGGGCGTGGAAAAAGCACAGCATCTTGGCTCTCCAGCCTGTCCCATACCTGGGCCGAGAACTCAAAGCACACTTCGTCCCTCCAATTCTTTGCAGGCCGTTGGTCCTGGCCTGCTGTCTCAATGCAGCCTTCCGCGAACTGCTCCGATCAGCTTCGGCTTCCATTCGGGTTTGCATGCTCAAGTAATGCCCTCCCTCCTAGTCTTCTAGTCTTGCTTGTCGCGATCATCAGCCAGAGAAGCTTAAACTTTCAGGGTCAATAGGCGGGGTTTCTTACCCTGAAGCAAACGTAGCAAGGAGTCTTTTGAGCCTCTCGCGGCTATGTCTAATGCACATAGAGGGATCATGCGCCGAAGATATCTAGAATCTAGAGCTCAGTTTGCTGCTGCCATCTCGAGCACCTCATTGAGTGCCTGTCCAAGACGAGGCCTCGGAGCCTCACTTTGCATCCCAACCGGAAGTCCCGGCATTGCGCCTCAATGAGTTGCAGCCGCTTCTCCAAATGTCTGGACCTTGCCACTGGCGACCGCATCGTACTCATCGAGAGGTGTAGATACGTTTGCCACTTGTTCAATCAAAGCCTTGATGCAGGACTGATTCCATCGGGGTCCATGGAGCTTGCTGGACGCTTGCTTCTTAAGCTGGGCACGGCTATCGTAAACCTTTGACATGGTCACCGTCCTAGAATGTGTGTGGAAATCCACAGTGAACCTGACGACTCACTCCGATCGGCGTCTTTTCTTGTGATTTCCTCGGAATGCGATTCTCGGTGTTCTAAAAAATCTGGGACGCCAGCAGGGCAATGGCTAGCTGAAGCTCGGCCTTTCTGGCTGTGCGAAAGGCGATGCTTGCTTGTGCAGTCGTGTCTGATAGCTCTGGTGCAGGGCTGCAAAACCTGTGAGCACTTTCCTAGATGGGACTCTGGATGGCTCACATGAAAGAGCGCTGTAGAGACACGCAGTAATGCCTCGACACACCGCTGTTCAGCTTCGAGGCGCACTAGCCTTTCTGCCTGCAAACAAAGCATGTGCTCCAATTTCCGCAGTGGATCCGCAGTGTAAAGGAGAGTACGACAGGCGGTGTCATTGCCGTAGAAGAACATGACGGCCTCCGTCTCCAGTTCCTCCGTCTGTGGTGGGGCCTTGAACTGCACTTCCAAACACTCCTAGCCTGTGGAGACATGAGACCAACCCAAACCAATTTAACGCTTCGGTATAATGCGACCCATTTGGCCCGTGAGGTAAGTGGCCCTGGCGGATGAAAACACCCGCATAGCGGCATAGCGTTGAGCCGCAGCCCGTGATCTGAGTGCAGCACGGGGACCGCATCGTCCGCCACCACCTCTACAAACTCGTGGGAACCCAAGCAAGTAAAACGTATTGTGAAATGTCTAGATCACGAGATTAAGTGCCCAGCAATCTGACCGACTGGGTTGAGCCTCGGACTCCGAGAGACTCTTACTCCGAAGCGGAGTGCACTGGCCGCTGGTCACAAATTTCACCCATTGCAGGCACTGCCCACTGCACAAGTGCTCTGCTATGAGAATCCAGCGCTTCTCTCGAAAGCTCGGAGTTGCGCTTCAACATCATGGCCTAACAAAGCCAGGAAAACGCTTCTTGATTCTCATCGCTGGACAAGATGGACAAGCCTTGAAGACAAGGAAGTCGTCGACACCTCGCGGCTTCGCTGGAGGAAAACTATAAGCGAAGGGGGCTACCGTACACAAGCTGGCTTGCTGTCCAGGGACTGATCAACTGCTCCACCAGACTTCTGTGGAGCTCGTTGCTGCCCTGAAACGCGAAAGCTCAGCAAAACGAACTGACCAAAACCTACGCTGGGAATGTGGCAGAAAGTCCGTATTCACAGAACACGGTGAACCTTTGCCAAACAGGAGCTCAACTCACGAGCTTTTCGATCTCGTCTTCTCATTCCGACTGTGCACAAATGGTGCGGCAGGTTTCAACATCTTTGAGACAGGCTGCTTTGAAGGACAACGGCCATTTCAGGCACGCAAGGCGTTCTTTGAGGCCATCTTCCCTACCAGTACCAACGGCAATCTCGAAGCTAGTGATCTCCTGAAGTCGTTCCGAAGTCCGGCTTTCAGCACACCCTTGTCTGGCTCTCAGGGAGTGCCGGTTTGTGCCGGCCCTCTCTCTTGGCTCGACTCTAATTTCTTTTAGCTGGAAACTTTGTTGGCTATCCCTGCCGCACACCTTCCAGGAAGTCAGAGTCAGTGCAACCGAATCGGCCGTGCATGGACTTGTGAGGATCTTAGTCGCATGACTTTTTGTTGGTGGGGGGGGGGAGTAGTTTTAGCCTCCGCTGATTGACATGGTGAGCCCTCGCAGCCTGCGAACAAACTGGCCTGGGGGCCTTCCTGACACTTTGCTGTCCAGCCACTCTTCTGTTGAGATTTGCAGCTCCGCCAGGTGGGCCTTGGTTTGCAGGCAAACAAAGGATTCTTGAGCCGTGGACTTGGAACTGAGGTCGGCTCTGCCAACAGGTCTTCGACCTATTCGAGGCTCTCCACAGCCAAGACGAGGAGAACAAGCGACCGAGCTCCAAGGATAAAGGGTTTCCGGGCTTCGGGAAACTATGCGTTTCTGTTTGCCCCTCTCCCTGGAACCAACCTCGCCACCACCCTTGCTTGCGTGGATCCGTGCATAAACTTTGGCTGGCGGTGGTGGGCAGTCTGACCGTGACCTTAGAACGGCTTCAACCCCTTTACCGTGAAACGCTTTCTCGCGCCGGACCCTCCCAGCAGGCAAACATAGCCAGAGCTGGAGTTGCAGTTCCCCGGCTTGTTGCCGAGTCTGTGCTCGTGGGGCGCTTTTCGGGTGTTGTTGGCTGACGGACCGCTGCTCAACCGATGGCCAAAGCAGACCCATTCTTCGTGAAGAACCGACGCAGAGTTGAGTTCCCGACTAGTTGCTTGAAGGCATTGTGAACCAATGTGTACTCCAACCTGGCTTGCTATTCCCGCTCCGGATTACCACTTGCAGACCTTTCAGAAGGTTTCTGCAACCGAGTATTGAAGCATGACGGCCCCGCTTGTTCTCCTGCGCCGAACATGCTTAAGTGCAAACATCTGTTCTGTCTCTCACTTTGGCGTCCTCCTGATCCTCGAAACAAAGGCAATTCTGATCGACGAACTGGGAGACTGGAACCATCCATGTGGGCGACCTCAGCAACGCACTATAGGCTCTGGGGGGCACTTGCAGGATGCTGCAACAACTAGGCCAACAGGTTACTTTTTGGATCCAGCATGGGCAATGCTGGTCACCAGGGCACATGTAACGCAGCCACACAGGTCCCGTGCGAGGCCGCCTAAGAGACACCTATGAAGATGCGAATTCTGCAAATCAAGTCATGGCCTCGATGCCGGCAGACAATGCACGATAGCGGCACTGCCCTCAAACACAAGCCAGGCGGTAGATCAAGCCATGGATGTGGTGGCCTGTGAATGCAACAGGCGACAGGCTAGAGCCCGGGTGATCTCAGGTGCAAGATGCAGAAAACTTACGTAGAAAAACGGAGAAACGGCCTCTTGCAAGGCTTGGCGCAGGTGGACAAGCTCCTCCTCGCGCCTTTGCACCTCGTTTATTTGGCAAGCTCTTGCATTAGAACCTTGGCCTGACCCTGTTCTTTCTTGTTGGGAGAAGGTACAATCGTTGAAAACTTGGAGAGCCAACGACTGTGCCTCCACCCAGTGAATTGCCGAGCACTGCTTCCGCTAGTAAGGGGTGTTTACTGCCGACCATAACAATTTGGAAGCCCCACCCGGCCCCGTCCTCTGCAGCCAACTCCAAGCACTTGTTGCGATAAAAATCTGCATCCTGCACGCTTCTACAAGGCAGGTGTGTACATATGTGGAGCTAAACAGGAAATGGAAAGTCCGTATGTATGCATCTATATCTATATATATATAATATGTTAGTAGCATTACTCTTATTTAAAAATATCTTCGCTCGCGCTCTGTCTTTCCGAAAGGTAACACAAGGGTGCAACCCCTTTCCCTGCTCTCCCTTTCTTTCTTTCGCCAGGGCTGCAGACGAGGGATGCCCCTCGCCCGCGCGCATCAAGCGCCCCCGTATGTTACGGGGCCAGCTGTGAGAA